TATAAAAGAATGAATGAATAAAAATTCAATTGGACTTTTTGCGCTTAACATTTGGCTTTCTGGTTGGCTTGGAAGCGTTCGTGTGCAAGCCTTCCTTCGTGAACAAGTCGCCATCAGTGACAACACGCTTTCTCGCCTTCTTCGGTGTTCGCGCAGGTACGGTAATGACGTTCTCACGTGCATACTCTTGAGTTCTGATCCAGGCGGCTGCACCAAGGTCGCTATTGACACAGTTCTTGGATTGCAAGTCGAGGCGCTTCAACATGGCGGGCAACGATAACGGCCAGGCACCGCAGGTACGAAAACCGTTCTTGAACATGCCTCCAGCATGGCAACGGTCGTACTGAAAGTCGTGACTGATCAGTTTGTTGAACGCAGTGCCTGCAATCGAGATCGCATTCGATCGCGGCAAGGTGTCAGTGTTCGCTGCGCGCAGGTACGTCGTCACAGCTGTCTTGATGTCGCGCTTGAATGTGCGAAAGATTGCGACGTCCAACGGCTGAAGCAAATGCGTCGCGTTTGCAGGTAAGTAGACCAACACAATACCATACGCTTCGCAGATCATCTCACTGTCTACGCCGTGATGAGAAGAGCAATTGTCTAGGACAAGTACGGCAGGTCTAGCGGCACGGCAGCGAAGCTTCCACTCTCCGAAGGTAATCAGCCAGTTGTTGAAGATCGCTGAGTTCATGAACGCTTTAGGAGCCGTGGTCACAAGCGCGTCATCGACAGGACACTCGTCCAAGATAGTACTCTCGCAGGACTGTCCAGGGAGAATAAACGCCGGGGGAACGAGAGTGCCGTCGGATGCAGCAGCCACGACAATGGTGAGGTGGTACGGTGGGGTATTTTCTTCATACCAAACGTTCTTTGACCCGCGAATGGCGACGACTTTCTTGTTTTGGGACTTTGTCTTGAAGCTCGTTTCGTCCATGTTGTAGACATCTGCCGCGGTGCACGAGAATCCCAGAGTGCCTTTGATTAGCGCGTTAAAGTAATGTATTATACCTTCTTTGTTAACTGCGTTGCGACTCTTTGACAGCTTCTGAGCCACGCGGTCAGCAATGATAGGGTTGCGTACACAAAACTTATGGTACCATCCTCGAGTAACGTTCCGTGGTACGCCATGGTATACAGCCAATATCGAGTTCGCCTTGTGGATGACTTCCCCTCGCTCAACCGGCATTCCACGACGTTGCATCGCAGCGATCCAAGCAACAAGGTCCTGCTCAATCGATGAGGGGAGAGCTTGGTGCGGCCCTCGCTTGTTGATGGAAATGGCGCCAGTGTCCTTCTTCATCTTGATGTAGTGGAACAACGTGGCCCTGGAGACAGCAGAGCTCCGGACGACAGCCGCTTTGGACTCACCAGCTTCGACGCGCCGAATCGCATCAAGGATTTGATGATACGTGGCGGGCATGTTTCAAAATGGGAAAGTCAAAAGTCAATGAGTATTTTTATTCAATTGGCGCGAAAAAATTGCGCCAAATATCGTCACTCGAGTTTGTATATAATTACAACCACGAATATTATCATATCCAATCAAATTCACTCAACTCAAAATGCAGAAGTACTATTGGTGAAAACTCAAACCGTCCAGGAATTAGGTGCCGTCTAGTTAATCGGTGCACTACCTTACCACGATCAGCAACACGACCATGTCATTTGAGCTGTAGCAGCAGCATTGTGGATGCGAAGCTCTACTATCGTCGTCGCTGTCGGCGCCCTTGTGTCATGTCAACAACTGTCCACGGTATCTGCCAGCAGCCCCACTGGTCATTCCAACAGTGTTACGACCTCAAGTCGATCCTTGCGTGCCCATCACCACCACCACAAGCCCACAACAACTACGTTACCACGACCTACACACCACAAGCTCCGCCATTCTCCGTCGCAACCACACACAAACCCCGCCACAGCGGTGGACTTTGCACTGTCGTGTGAGTTTGAAGGCACTTCACTTCGAAATCGCCAAACGCTGCAGCTAACTGGGTCGAAAGGTCACAAGGGACGTTTGTACACTGTGTGTTTGGATGGGAAGGTTGTATGCCACGAAGAGCTCGGCGTAGCCGACACACCCGCCCTAGTGGACATGAACTGCTCTGCGATCTCTCCTAGCCGGCGATTAGTGTACTCCCCAAGTGGCTACCGGTACCCATGTATATGGTTGTTAGATGATTCAATAGCTTGGTGGTGCCCCTCTGACTCAAACATGGCCGCAAGGCGTCGTACAGTATGCTACATCATCGCGTCCAACTTTACATCATCGCAACGGGCGCAGATTGATAACGCCATGTCGCAGTTCCAAGACGAGACCACCATTCGATTCCTCGAGGTTTCTGCGTGTTCGGTCAATGTCACGATGATCGGCGGCAAGGCCATCTGTGGCAACTGCCTCAACTACGCCAATATTAACAACTGGGACGCAGGATGCTACGCTGCCGTGGGCTTCCAGAACGCTGACCCCCAAGTCCTCAACCTGAACGCCGCCTGCTTTGACGACCTCACAGGCACTGGCCGTGTCGTCCATGAAGTTAGTTGGTCATTTCTACATGCACCTGATACAGTAGTACTTACTACTGCACTCGTTGACATTATTGGCACTCTACCGGTAGTTTGACTACGCGCTATCGGGCACATTCGCACCCCGAGCGCAAAGTGATTGTCATCCCAGTCGAGCTTAAAGTATCGAGAAACAACTACCAAGTGTTTACAACTGCCGTCAAACTATTCAAGAACGACCCCGCCTCGATCATGCACTACGGATCCACGGCGGGTTGTGCATTCCCAAACACGGTCGTTGTTATCTTACTACAGTACTGTACCCACACGCATGCTCGGGCGTTGCTTAGCTCGTTGGTCCGTGTCGTGACTTTTGATCTACCTAACGTTAGCGTCGATTCAGTACTGCCTCGTGTCTCAATCACCAGACCAGGACAACTGCATCCTCCCCACGCGGGATGCCTGCGATGAAAAAGGGTCGGAAGTGCTGGGCCAACGCATGAAGCTGAGTCCGTTAGACTTGGAATCCGTGGTTCAGCTGTATGGCAATGTCACAACCAGACAACGGTGCATTGAGCTGGGCCACAAAGAATGCCCTTGCGAGGAAGGTCGGGGGCAACCGAACTCCACACCGCCGAGTCCAGCTACGTCCAGCAACGGGTTCTTTCGGTTTCTTGCAGAATTGACACGGTGGTTTGCATAAGAACATCTCCGAATTCTTACTTTGTTGTCATGGTGGAAGTATAAAATTGTAACGTTAGTGACGCACGCATTTGTCCCAGTGATGTCTACGTCTAACTACGGTAGTACATACAGTACTGTAGTTGGCTCTTGCCAACATCAATTGCCAGCGTTGCGTTTAAACCGAGATCATTCACTTCGAGTGACGATCTCATGTATTCCAACACCTACCACGCGTTGAATTCACTACAGTAAGATGGCAACACGTTTGTCCATGAGATGTTCTGCGGAAAGTAATATTGTGCTTTTCACCCAATTCGAAGAATTTTCGAAATCACCATAAATCAAAATGATTGGCTAAAATGTGCAGTATGATTGGCTATAAAGAATAAATGATGGTATCTCCACACCTGCATACAGTGTACCATAAATTAGAACAACACAGCCGTAATTTTCTACTCAGTAGTACTATTCGAAGTTACGGATAATTTATCTATTATCCGGGAAATTAAATATTTGGTTTGCAGCGACACTAACAGTAAATTTTCTCGTTTTGCCGACAACACACCAAATTTCCCGGATAACGTACATTTATCCGAAATTGTACCGGATACAACAAATGCTATCCGGGAAAACCGAAGTGTACAGTTAATTTTAGTGACAAATATACTCTTAAAAGAGTAGTAGTACTATTAATAATACTTCTTCACAATAAACATGGATAATAGGTTCTTTCAACCCACCCACGCCGAAAGAAATATGTCGAATCCACAATAAGCATCCTGGTGCAAGCGAAAAACCCTTCCCTCTCCTGTCGACCTCGGAACGTCTGTTGCACCAGCTTACTCGAATGGAAAACACTTAGGTTTTGTATGATACATTTCGCGGCTACCAATCCACCAATCAAATCTCACGACGCGGTGCCACCTAGGTCGTGGAGGTTGCCGTGGAGTATCCGGAGGCCAATCTCAGACGAGTCATGCAGGTAACCCATGAATTCCTCCGTGACAAGGCCGACGGGGGCGTTGGCGGCATTAGCCAACGGGCGAAGGAGCGACACCATCTTGGCGGTCGTGACGTTGGTGCTGGGGTTGGCATACACGACCAAGTACCCGTTTTCGTCATGGCGAGAAAAGTTGTCGCCTGCGGGGTACCTCTCGTCGTCGAGGAAGCACCGGTAGACGAACGTGATGCCGGCCGACGTCATGGTTCGGTGGCAGATCGAGTACGATTCGACCAGGGGCTGGCCCTGTGCGAACTGGCACTGGTACCGCGAGTAGAATGTATAGGGGTCCACTTCTTCTAGCACCTATGACACACCTCCATTCTTATAACTCGTAACTAAGTATACACAGACGACGATAACGACGTACCTCGCACCGCGCCGTGGTGTCGTAATGCATGAGTTGCTTGAGCTGGTAGTGGATGAGTCGCCAGATCGCGTCGCTGACTTGGCCGACGGAATAACCCGGGAATTCAACCACCCGGATGACTTCGATCTCGATCTTGGAGTTGTGTGTCACTTGCGGCTGAAAACGCACAAAGGTTTCCGTATGTGGCAATGGCATCGTGGGTGGCGACAGGTGCTTGGACGCCATGACGCTATCGACTTCGCTCAAGGCCGTGGCGATGGTGTCGCGGAAGCGGCGCTCACGGGTCTGGGGGTCGCTAGGGAGGAAGTAGAGCGGATTCGTCGGTTGCTTGCGCGCAAAGACCTGTAACATATGGAGTAAGTCCAGGAGTTGCCCCCGGATGCGACGGAGTGGGTCGTACACAAAGGGCAGACTGGCTCATGAAGAATGACTCGAGCAGCTTTAGTGTCTCCATCTGGGACAGCAGTTTGTCTCGCAGCGACGAATTCTGGTCCTCGGCATCCCGCAGCAGGTTTTCCTGGGTCTCAGCCTCGCGCTTCCTGCGCTTCGCTTCGGCTTCTTGGATCACCTTGCGTTCATGCAACTGTAGTAGCTCTACCTCCAGCGCTCGCTTCCGTGACACCAAGTAATCCACTTCATTCTAACGACGCCGACACTTTGAGCATATAGTTGCTGCGAGGAGCCCATTACCTTGCGTCGTTCGCGGTAGTACACGCTAGCTTTCTTGACGGCCTTGTCTTTATCCGCCTCATTCTGCTCCTTTTTGCCTGTCATCTCGGGGCTGCTGAGCGTGAACTCCACTAGCTTCTGCGTCTCGTGCTCGTCCAGGAAGCTCTCCAGGTCGAACAAGTTGTCCATGCTCCGCTCGGCGAAATTGTTCGACTGCGTGGCACACACCAAATGTCGTATCCGGAATATGGAGGTCGAATATGACTGAAGTGTAGAGTCCGTATAATGACACTTCTATCCGGATACTGTCTATTCACAGGCAAAACTGCCACCAGAATCATATTTTTCGCATACATTTGTTTCGTTCCGACCAACTGTTAGGGCATGGCCGCTGATTGGTTCAAATCTCACTTTTCGAGGTAACTGATGTGTTCACGCTTTCCGGCATGGTATCCCAGGCAGGGATTTTGCGGCTGACTCGAAGTAGAGCTGAAGTTGGCATAGTATAGTGCTCAATGTATCGTTAGTAGAAAATACAGTAGAAGTTGTTAATAGCATTTGTTAACAATCGTAGCATATGTTTACATTTTGTAACCTGCCAAGAAATGACTCGACCAATGAACGTTTGGTGATCATTTGAGACATGGTTAATTGAACCAGTTAACCTTCAATACTGAAGGTTTCGTCGAAAAAAAGCATATTTTGGCAATTTCATACAAATTGAACAAAAGTGAAAAATTCTCTGGACCCAAAATTTGGAGAATGCAAGAGACCAACGTTATCTAAAAGTTGGCAATGAATTGTTGATCAGTTTGATCATCCACAGTCCAAAATACTTCGAAGTCCGTAGTACGTGACATACAAATCCTTCGAATTACTCTGACAGTGAACCAAATTTCCGAAATACTTATTGGACAAAAATGGGTGTGTGATCCAGGCCCACACTCTACGGATCTGAAGACATATTCGTTCAAAACTTGGAGTGAGGCAAAAAGTTCCGAAGCAATTCGTCCTGTAAGGTGATTCATGTAATTCCCGACCAGCTTGGCCTACTTTCTGAGTGCCATAACTTGTCACTCCTTCATCCGCTGAGGCTGCGAAAACACGCATTTTGAAGATCGTCACGAGCTTTATAACTTTATGCAGGTCCCAACATTTGTATCGCATGGTCAATTTGCTCGTCGAATTTCTAAAATTGAAATTTCCCTGTGTGAACTTAATTCCCCGCCAGTAAGTTACTTGAATAATGTATACCTGATTTGGGTGGCAAAATCCTCAGAACCTCTTAATAATGATATTATAAAGTATTAAAGTAATTAAATTTAGAAGTGCAACTTATATAAAAACTGTATTCCATGTCGAACAAGCAGAATATGAAATCTTACAAGTATGTGATACAAGAGTACGTAATTTTGTCCAATCATCGACCATGGATGATTGTGATTGGCCATTTGCTGGCCGGGAATTGCATGCTGGCCAGGAATTACATGAATCACCTTACTCTATTATTAAATAATAGTACAGCAAACGTTCCTGTATTAACGGTAAGAACAATTAGCACCTTTTCTAAACAAACCGGTATATTCATTTGATAGATAATATTTTGAAAGCATTCCAGTCGATGTGTATCACTCTGTACATCGCATCAATAGACACTCCACTTCCGTCAGAAATCTCCTCATTCACGCTGTTGTCACATGCCTTTTTAGAGCTGATAGATCGTAGGTCACGTCGCTCCGGGTACTATACCTCGTTGAAAGCTTAAGCAATATGCCAATGGAACTGATAGGACTTGATACATCGGAATCTAAGGAAACAGGCTGATTGATGAATCTGAATGAACTCACATTTGTATAGATACAGTCAGTATATACTATACGTACTGTACCGGTATGTATATACTTCGAAGTATATGTATAAATATCACGAGCGCGTCTACATATATGAGCCAGTAGTTTTACTTTCTCGAAATTCAGATTTTATATTACGATTAGTATTAGCCGTGCCCGATCCAGACAGACCCATGCGTGATAACCGGTGTAACGTTACTACCCATTTTGCAGTCAAGTTGGACGAATGCCCGATACATGTGGCCGTGCGCCCGATATGCTTGGTGGTGTGCTCGATATAATTAGCCATGTGCCCATTTAATTTGGTACACCGAGGTTGTGTGCCCGGTGTGCCCTATATAATTAGCCGGTCGCCCAAGCAATTGCCCATCTGCCCGATGAATTGTGTCGTGTGGCCGATGAAAATCGAACTACTCAAATAATTATATTTCATTAACATGTGAGTGTAAATCAATTTTGGTGGAAACGTCATGTGGTTGAAGGTCGAAGGAAAACTCGCGAAGGCAGAAAGAATTCGAAATGTATACTCGAATAAAGCACGGTTTATGTTCATAATGCGCGCGCTTTCCTCCAATATATTGAAAGTTCATTATTCGAATCACCAAGGAACGCACAGCACGGACGTAGCTGCACCCCCATGAACTCCGGTTATAATGTCAATTGAAGTATTGCCCGTATACTTCAACGTTTCGTCCATACTTTCAACTCCGTCCAAAATTTGAATCTGTCGCGCGCAGAGCTCATTTTTCGATATATTTACCTCAAGGAACGCACCCTCGATGGACGCGCCGAGGCCATGGGCAACATGGGCGTTGGTATGTGACGTCACAGCAACGATGTTGCATGTGTCGTTTAACGACCATTTCTATAGTGAATTGAGTGATTTCCATTTTCATCGGGCACATGACATAATTCATCGGGCAGATGGGCAATTGCTTGGGCACACGGCCAATTACATGGAGCCAAATTTATCGGGCATACAACCTCGGTGTGACAAATTAATTGATATCGGGCACACCGCTAAATATATGGTGCACTTCATCTAAAAACTTCCAACTGGCCAAATTGAAGAGTGAAGGTTTTATTATTTAACGTGCAATTAATATAGTTAAACCCAAATTCCAGATACGTTAAATACCGATTTCATACGTTTTATCCCTGGAGTGGGAGGTTAAAGGTCCCACCTGCCTCCGGATATTAAATACGGATAAGAATCATATACAAAAATCAAGATACATTTGAGCGGCCACCCCTATGGCCAAATATCCCAGCGCCCATGTAAAATACCGCTAGGTTAAATATCTATTTCTGGACCAATTCATCACCAAATTTGAATCTGAGACGTAGAATTTCTTCACCACATTGAGATCTGTCGATTCTACGTCTCAATTTGCTGCAATTTTGAGTAATGAATATGAAATAGAAGTCAGAAAATTTTGTGAAAAGTTGGTTGTTTATAGATGACGTGCACCATATCCGGCATTCGTCCAACTTACAGTTAACTGCAAAAAGGTTTAGTACTAGTTAGTACTTAGTATATACGCATAACGTTATACGTATACTTCAAGTAATACACTAGTACTCGAGTAATGACAAGGAATCACCAAATCGGAAGTTGATTGGATGCTGCACAACGGCATCACCAACGGTGTTTGGTTTCGTTGAGAATTATTCGTTACAGTATTCTGAATTTTACTGTAATATTTAAAGATAATCTCCAAAAGCACTCAAATTTATTCAGAAATTTGGACGTATTGACATGTCATTGCTTTTTTTGCACCATCCCATTCAACAACATACCAGTATCGCGATGGACATGCCAGACTGCAGTTCCGTCCTGGGTACGCAATCGCATCTGCTGCGCTACGTATGCATGTTAACCTCATCGTGTGTACCATGCAGAGCTAGGCGAAGCGCTCCGACAAGGCCGCTTGGACGACACACCACTTCGCCAGACCACTCCATCGTTGGCCTCGTTCGTGGACTCGACGATTGAGTCCCGATACGACAAGTGGCGGCGCTGCGACGACGTCATTGCGCACTATAAAGAGAACCAAGCAACGGAGACACGGCAGAAGGACTATCTGCAGGTAGTGTTGTGTTCGGGGCGCTCCTTGTGTCCAGACGTGACGGAATCGTGGGCCAACTGCGTCAAGCATTGGAAGGGCGACCACGAACTCCAATGTCAGTTTGTCAAGCGTATGGTGGAGCGTTGTTTGCGCGGCGAGGCGACCGAGATGCTGCGACTCATGGATCCTGCCAAGTTTCCCAAGTAGTATCCCATATCCTTCCTTGTATATATATATAACATCCAGAGCTACAGTAGCAGTTATATGCCGACGGACTACTCAATATCGAATGTTCGTGTTATAGCAGCAGCAGCGAATATGAGACGTTGTACGTCCCTCTACTATTGCACCACATAGGACTCTGTCGACAGGAGCTGGTCAAATCCATACTGGACAGGGCTTTGATCGCTAGTTTTAAGCACGTGGTCCACGGCCAAGTCGCAGTAGGTCGTGCGCGAGTAAAACGACACTTGGATGGGGAAGTACGCGTCCAAGTTGGTGCCGCGGATGGTAAATTCGAGGGACCCCGAGTTGTTCCTATGACCATGGGGGGGTTAAGCACCTCATTTAAGCTTGGAAGGGTGTGTGTGATGACTCACGACGACGAGATGGACGGGATGCGCCACAGTACGACGTGGTCGGTCGGGTTGTGACGGTACTCGCCGTCGATTTGCGACACGTGCGGCGGGTCCACCACCCCCGTGGGAATTTGAATCACAACGTTCTCCAGCACCATGTTGTCGCGATCCATCGAATACTCCAAGCTCACGGTCGTCTACACACATATATATATATATGGTGGCTTTCAGTCGAATTTGCTAAGTTTGTGTGACATCGTCCACAAATGGAGGAGTTTCATTGGATAAAAAAAGGAATCAAGTGTTTTTGATTGCAATATGATTGGCTAAAAAGATTCCAGGTAGTCCCAAAAGATACCTCGTTAAACTTGGTTTTCTATCATATTTCACAGGTCCGGCGATTTTGTTCGCTTCAACCAACCGTTGAGAGACCATGTTGCTTAGATAGATGTTGCTTAGGTAGATGATCATCACACACACAAGACAAAACATATCCAACCCGGCACAAATCACACGAATATATATATATATATAGATAGATCGATATCTCTACCTTTCCGTTGGACTCTTCCTCGGGCCAGCATGTAATGTTGAGAGGGAGGAACGCCTCGTCTTGGGTCTTGATCGCCCATCGCAACACGGCGACGCGGGATGGCGGAAACGGCTTGGTGTCGTCCTTGAGCGCCAAAATCGACTGCGCTTCAAACAGCTTCTTGTCCACTTTAGGGTGCGTCTACCACACAATCGAAACATCGTCACAGAAACATCATCACATATATAACCTCGAAAACGTACTTGAAAATTGACGCCGTTGGCCGACGAATGGCGCAAGTGCAGTCGGCACGCCGAGCTGTCGGGGTCATGGCCTGCGACGAACAAGCTGCCCTTGACTTCAAGCTGTTCGACGGCGCCGTCGCGGTTGAGCTGCACCGACACCTTTTCTTCGATTGCTAGAGACACTGGATCGGTACTCCCGACCGCGTCTGGCAGCTTGGGCTCGGCGGCGATGCTCGATGCCGCCGACGTCACCGGCGGGATGTCCTGGAGGTCGTCTTCTGCGGCCATTGCATCCAGGAAACTGCTGCCCTGCTTGCTTCCCCCGCCCAACTTCATGCCTACATTCAGTTCGTGTCACTTCTCCATATATAGACACTACAACGAGCGGATTTCGAACGTACCTGAAGACTTGGACGATAAGGATGGCGCCGGGGCCTTGAGAGGCTCTGGAGTGTACTCCTTGGGGGTAGACGCACCAAACGACGACTGCGACGAGTACGACGACGACGCCGCCGTGGGGGACGCGTACCCGCTGCCAAAGCCAGCGTACCCCGAGGCCTTGGCCGAGATGCCCGCCGCGCGCTCCTGCCGCGCCTTCTCGCGCTGCTCTTCCTTGATCCGGACCTCTTGGCGCTTGCGGTCGGCGGTCGCGTTTTCGAGCTTGGTCTTTTGAATCATCAGGTGCAGCTTCTCTTCGTGCGACTCCATTTCCAGATTGGTTCGGATTTGCTGCAAGTTGATCTGTTCGGCGTGACCCCCCGCCGTCAGCAGCTCGTCGAACCCAAACACAAGGTCGAACTGCTTGTCGCGGATGTGCGCCTCGGTTAGCGGACCGCAAATGTCGGGCACCAACTTGGCCAGCAGCTGCATCGTGTGCAAGTCTTCGACAATGTTACTCGTCTTGTTCGTGATGAGCAAGAGGAAGTACGACTCGATGGGCTGGTACACGTAACGCACGCTCTCCGTGTCGATAAACGTGTGCTGGCGCGTCTCGCTCGCCAGTAGCTTGGGAAACGCGGTCAACAGGCCCTGCATCCCCTCGTCAGCGTTGCCATCGTCGACATCGTCGCCGCCATCGCGTTCATTATGCTAGGATAGTTCGTACCTCGAGACGAATGCGTGACACTTCCACGAACTGGCGGGCCACCATGACTACGCAAAGATACGTCAGTGGCAATATTCGGCGAAGGTGATACCTTTGCCATTCTTTGAGAGGAGCGCGGCAGACAAGACAACCTACATCAGGGAGGTACAAGCATGAGGGTCTTCATCGTCATGGACGTAGCATCCGCCTACCATGATGCAAGGACAAGAATGCTAGGGTCAAGTGTCGTCGGTCAGGGAGGAGCTGTGCTCGAAAATGAGGTGGCCGGGAATACCATCATTTTAGCCAATCCAAATGGTCCACATCGTGGAATTCGCTTTATTTATAACCAATGAAAAGCGACCAACAAAATCCACCCCCCCGCGACTTAACTTTCCGATTGTGATGATGATGGCATTTCCATCAGCTTATGTACACTACGTGACCGTGGAACTGCTGTGCGACAGGGAATGGAGCATCTCCGCCATCTTGGACGACGTCATGTCGTCAAAACCCATGACGGAAGACCGCTTCTGCATCATGCGACGATAGATGGGCTCAATCTGTGTGTCCTCGCTCACGCAAATGTTCAGGTCGCGAATGATGCCGTCGTCGATGCTGTAGCACCATCCATGCACGCTCACGTTGTGCCCGCGCTTCCACGCTTTCTGTACGATTCGAGTGTGGCACACCTACCAACCATACAACAACATCCCGATTAGAACGTCAGTCTCCGACTCTGGCATTACGTTGTACACCGATTTGGCAACGTTGGCCTCCGTGAGCATGTGCAGCACTTCGTCTTCCCCTAAGTCTACGAGTAGTCTGTCATCGTGTGCGATTGACAGTGTTAATTACCTTTGAACTTCTTCCGCTGTTCAATGTACAAGTCCTTGATGTTGCGGATCCAGTTGTCGACCATCCCGAACTCTTGACGGCTCAGCGCAGCTTTAACGCCAGAGCAACCGTAATGACCACCTAACCGAGGAGTCACATGGATCGTAAAGTTGCCGACGCATATTGCTCTCGGCTACGTCCATGGTCGTAAACGGATACGTACACACGATGATGTGCTTGACTTTTAAGTGGACGACGGCATATTCGATCACCGACAGGCAGTTCATATCGCTGTGGACTACATCATCGTGACCATACGAGACACAATGACCGCATGCAGCAATCATAGTTGCTCCTTACCGACTTCGTTCGCCAAGTTGACATGCACAAACACTTCGCCGGGCTTGAGATTCAGAATTTGATTCGGCGGGACGCGGGCGTCCGAACACCCTGATACGAAGCGTCAGTTGCGTCGTAGAAGTGGAATGTCAGACGTACCGATCCATAAGATCTCGGGGGATTGCTGCTTGGACAGCTTTTGAAAGAAGAATGGCGCCGACTCGACGACGGACTCGGCCCACAATCGGTTCCGTTCGAGCAGCTCGTGGAGTCCCTTCTTCCCATCCGATATCTTAATGCTCCCGGTCACCATCTCAGGGACATCACTGGCAATTCTTTGCCCTTCTTCATGCTGTGTTGTTTCCAAAATCACCGCCATGTCAAAGTGCCGATGGGGCGGCGCCATAATCCCTTCATCCATGGACCAAAATTGGTTTGACAAGATCGCGTTGGTCATCCGGATAACCCGAACCGTTTCGCATATCCGGACAATCTGGTTTCGATTTTCGCAAGAATCTACACCCATTTGACCTTGCCCGACAACTTGTCATGATGGCTTGCCGACGCATCCTTGCGCCTTCTTTCGCTCGAAGATCGATGTCTGCCCTTGCTGGGAGCGGTCTTGATGGGGCGTCAACGGTGTGCTCGCCTTCGCTCGTGGTGTTCGACAAAGATGGCACGCTCATTGACTTCAACCTCATGTGGGGGGGATGGGTAGAGTCCGTGGCTTGGAAAATGGAGATGACAACGCGGCGCCCGGTGCGCGAGAAGTTCTTCGATGCAATGGGGTACGACTGGGTTGGTCGTGCGATTCGTTCGAAAGGCGCGTTGTGCTGCACCCCGATGGGAGAACTGTACCAAATCGCGCACAAAGTCATGGTCGACGAAGGGATGTCCGTTGGTGACGCCAATACCGCCCTCGATAAAGTATGGCATTTGCCCGACCCCGTGGAAACGTCACGTCCACTTGGCGACATCACCGGGCTCTTCCTCACTATCAAGAAGATGGGCATGAAGATCGCGATCTGCACCGCCGACAACCGCGACGCCACCGTCCAAACCATGCACCATCTTGGTGTATCTCACTTGGTGGATGCCCTGTCGTGCGGAGACGACCAGTTGCCGGCGAAACCAGCGGCGGAGCAGGTCGGTCTTGGTCATTATTCCGAGGGAAATGTCTCGTCATCGTTACATCGTTTTGCTGTAGGTATGGACATTATGTCACAAACTGGGGGTTGATCCTCACAACACCATCATGGTACATGCTCCCATACGTATACCGTCCGAACTTGAGGGTGGTCTCACGATGCATTAGGTTGGTGACACGAGCACGGATATGCGAATGGGGTTGAATGCTGGCTGCGGGCTCTCTGTGGGGATCCTCGGCGGCGCGTCGTCGCTGGACGACCTCGCCCGTGAAGCCGACGTCCTCATCCCTTCCCTCACCAAGCTGCCCAAGATCCTCTTCCAGTACAGCCGACAAAGTGCCGCGGCGGCCTCCACCCATGCATCGTCGGCTTCCGCTCACGTCAACAGCGCCTCGTCATCGTCCCAGCATCCTCAACACCAATAAGCTAGGACGTTGCCTCTCGAAGACTACATGCAGAACACATTAAAACGAGATTGTGTTTGGTTTTCCTTTCATCGATACTTTAACGGCACTTGCAAGGGCTTGAGCCGCCGTACGTTTGACGGTGGAGCGCCGTCGGCACTTGGCTTGTCGTCGACGGTCAGCGCCCCTGGCTGCAGCCCCACAAGGCCGCTCCCTGGCCGTACAAGCATCGCCGCATGATGCGACGCTTTCTTGGACTGCAATACATATGACTTGGCGCCTGCAACGCATATATATGCAGGTAGATACTCTATCTGTCAACAAATATAGATAGTACCCGTATTTGTCGTTGATCTGACCATGAAATATAAAACGTGAATATAATTATTCCATCATTCCATGTATTCAAAATCTCGAATCAATAGGACAATTGGAATATTTTAATAAAAATGGTCAAATGATAATTCACTGTCAATTGGGGGTACAGTAGTACGGGTATTTGGGGTACAGTACTAGTACCTAACTGCTGCTGGTCGTGTGGTTGGATGTCGTCTGCTGTACGTGACTTTTGCTTCTTCTACTCACATCATAATGCTGAATGTACGTTGAACATCTCCAACTTGCGGTGGTGTGTACCTGTGCTGTCGATGGCTCGCCAATGTCTTCGACATCGTGACCAACGCGCTTGATCTTGTTCAAGTTGTCGGTCAGTACATACGTTTGTCGAGTCTCGTACGGTTCGTCTGGCTGTTTGGCGGACGAACTCACGCTCGAATACCGCGGGCGAGTGACAGCACTCCGATGTGACGGGGCTTTGTCCACGTTGTCGGCCGTCAAGGCCCCTTCGTCGTCGCCGTACTCGACCGATGCTGATGGTAGTTTGGTCGACCAGTTGTGACTTCGTGAGACGGATACTGTTCCGACGGATGGCGCGGCGGGAGGGTGGCCACTCACACTCGTGTCGGCCAAGGTCGCGTACCCGCCGTCTTCTTGGGGAGGGGCGTATTTGGCGCTCGAGTTGCCCATGTGGAAAAGCGTGGTGGACGGTTACATGTTGTGGTCAGTTCCATTAGGAATGTGTGCGGCAGTTACATTGGGTTATTTCGTGGCGGATCTACTATTATTATTATTAAAACTGCAACAGTACGACGTTACTACAGTATGTACGTTACTGGGCCTCGTCATCCTCAACCACAATATCCGGAAAGTCGTCATCGTCACCGTCGTCGTCGGCGGCATCGTTCGCTGCCGGTGCTACGTCGACGGTGGGCTGTTCAACCACGTCGTCATTCTCCACAGTGGCTTCATCTTGGTATTCCAGTTCGTCGACATCGCTAGCAACTTCCACAGCAACGTCTGCTTCGTTGTCCTGTTCAGCACCCTCGTCGGCAAGCACTGGCTTCTCGTCGTCCATATCGTCCTCGTCCTCTTCCTCGTCGTTTCCCTTGGCCTTCTTTGTATATTGACGTCCATCTACAGCAAAACAGTCACTCAACATTGAACATCCATTATGATATCCTATTGTCCAGTTGATTCGAAATTGGAGTGTGTTTGGGTGCTGCTCAATCGAATGACTAGCACCAAAATCGGCACACAATCGATCGACCAATCAAAACCAAGAACACGAATCAAGTAGCCAATCAAATCCACTCTTCGAATAATTCAACACAGAATTAGTGTGTGACTGAAATTAGTGTGATACTGGACGATCTTTACATACAAGAAGGACAAACAATCCATCGATAGATTTGGCGAATCAGCCCAAAAGTCAGGACAATATATCATTTCTTGTCGTACCAGTCTCCACGTCATCACTCTCGTCTACTGGTTGGTCCCAATCCATGTCTGCCTCCAATCGCTTGGCTTGTTGGGCAGACGCATAGCTACTGCTCCCCCCCCCACTGACTGACGGTGTGACATGCTCCCCCCCGCCACTGATGGACGTCCCAAGTGCCATTGGCGGAGCCCGCGGGTGCAAGATGCTTTCTCCGACGTTCGTCGCCAGCTCCCGCCACGGACCGCTCGTCCGTCTCGCCCAGAACTGCATGGTCTGCGGCAAGGCGAGGCCACGAGCCCCCTGCGCGTCGGGGGCCACGACGTTGGCCAAGCTCACTTTGGTCACGACCGACGGGTCCAACGTCTTGTCCCGTTGGCTGGCGTGCACGAGGGCAGTGATTTTCAACCGATCGGACGGGGGCACCCACGACCCGCACACGCTCAGCACGGTCGCGACGGTGCCCAGCGCGGCGTTGGTCGTCGCGCGGGTATGATGCACCTGGTGGATCGACGGCGACGTCCGCTTGACTTCGACGGGGGCTTCTGCCGCCACCCGCTGGCGCTTCTTCTTGTTGCTTTGATGGGCCACAGCCGTCGCGACTTTGGCCGGTTGGACACTCGCGCCGCTCGACGGCGGCGCCAGGTGCTGCAGATGCGACAGCGACCATGCCAATACAAGCCCTCCCACGGCCGTGTACGCGCCGCCGCCCAACGCAGACAAGACCTGTTGCAACGCCTTGTGCAGCATGGGAACGGCTGACGGCACAGTGGCCTGGCAACTCAATTGGACAACCTTTGCAATCGACGATGTAAAGCGAAACATGGGCATCCCCCCACTGGTCACCAGCGACGCCAACAACGACGTGAAATGGGGCTGCAGCAGCGGCAAACTGCCATACAGGACACTGCTGGGCAGTTGCCGGCCGTCTTCAGAGATGGCACTTTGCTTGCCCACGGCATCCGCTCGAAGCGAGAACGCCCGACGCAGTAGGGCCAGGACATCGGGGGCGACGAGCACAATGTCCTTTTCGGCAATCGCAGCAGACGACAACAAGCCCGCTAACATGGACGTGAGGACGTGGACCTTGTACACCAGTCGATGGGCTTGCAAGTACAGCGGCAGCGTCGGCATCACGGCGTCCTTGAGCCAGGGCTTGAGAGCGGCAGGCCGAGTGCGCCCGTCGCTGGCTTTGTCTTTCCCCCCCAAAACGTCCAGTTGATAATGCAGCGTGAGCACCACCCGGTCCACAATCTAGACGTAGTCGCCAACACAGTGATAAGGAAGACGATATCATGGTTGTCGTACCTGCTGCCACGTACTCGTGGTGGCGTCGACGGCAGTGGCATGTGCCACAGCGCCTAGGCAGCTGGACATGGCAGGAAGGATCGAAGTCGCAACTTCCGTGGAGGTCCCGGCAGGGGGGCTCAGCAGTGGAAGGCACGCAGCTTCGATCTTGTTGGCGAATGGACGAAACGTAGTCGAGAGCGACTGGCATCCGACATAAAGCGCTTCGTATGATGCAATGAAGAACGGCGCCGAGGCCGCATTCAGATCGACGTCGCCAACGTGATGGAGCACCAGCGGGACCACGCGGCCGATTTGGTCCACGACGAGTCGCCGCGTGTCCACGGTCGCATGCGCGAGGTTGAACATGAGATGCGTGAGAATGTGCAGCGCAGGAACACACACGGACACGTGCTGGTGCTTGAGTGCGTGGTAGACGACGTCGAGTAGTTTCGGCACACGCTGGTCCAATGCTTCCATGCCGCTGCCTTCGACAGCCACAGCCAAGAAGCGCATCGCGACTTCTTGTCGCAATGCCGCCGAGTCCTTTGTCTGCTGGATCATCGTGTTGTAGAACTTTTGAAGCGCGTTGCCATTGACTACGAGCCGAAACACTTGGTGGTCAGCCAGGACCTGCTGCAGATGAGCTGTTTCGGCCTGGTACAGTTCGTCTACCAGCGGCTCATCCTCTCTTTGAGCGAAGGACAACGCTGTGATGGAAGACAGAAGGTTCTTGGCCTTGGTCGCGCGGACGTCGTCCTGAGGTGCTGCCATCGTCAAAGTAGTCGGGAATTTTGATTGATACCCTCCTCGTGATGGTGAACCGTTATCCCGCCAACCAACGAAACGCGAGCAGGGTCAATCCTTGTACAATTAATATTATCCTCTATAATCAAATCCTTCAAAAGTGAGAAATTTGACTGTGAATTTGTGACACGAAATCGAGGGGCAAATTCTTGTGTTTTTGGCGTTTTCTACATAACAACCGATTTTCTGTTCCCTGTTTTTCTACGAAACGATCGCTGATTGGTCGTTGTAATAACTTGGCATTTGTATGGTGGGCTGATGGAGGGGAAGTTTCGACGGTCGTGGCAGCCATTGACCATTCGGCTTCACGTTTGACGATGGCGCAACAGAGTCCGTGGCGCATGCTTGTCATGCTGCCGATGATGTACTTCATGGGCAAGATTGACTTTGAGAACCCTTGGATCCTCAATGGGGCGCGCGTGTCCTTCTTCACGATGCAGATCCTGTCGCTGTTGCTCGGGTTGTGGGCCAAATCCAAGATCGAAGCCAAGCCGGACAACCGCAAGATGTTCGTGCCGACGCCCAAGTCGCCCCTGGACACCAGTACGGAGAACTCGCCGTTGACCGAGACCACGTACTTCGCGCACGAACTGGCCAAGGCCAAGGAATTCATCCAGCAAACGTTGATTGGCGCGGTGATTTCCAGCTTTGTGCACATCCAGTTTGGCGTCAACCAAGTGGTGGTCATCCAATCCGTGATGGTGCCGCTGAACTTGTACGACAACGCGCTCCTGAAGAAGCATATTTTCGGTCTCGGCGGCCCTCGTTACTGGGACGAAAAGCTCGAAGGCGAGTCGCTAGACGATGCCGCCCCGCATCCGGACGCGATCGACGCTGCCGCCGACTCTGTGCCCGCGCCTTCCTCCAAGAAACCTTCCAAGGCAAAGAAGTCGGTTGATGTGGCGGATGCCATCAAGCAGGCTTGGGACTTGGGTGTCGAAGCCAACTTTGATCGGTTGCTCTCGGTGTTGAAGAATGACCCGAACGGCTTCAAGACCAAGACGTCCGACGGGTGGACTCCTCTCATGGTCGCCTGTGGCAGCCCCATCGATACGGAGAAGGTGATCAAGACGCTCATCAAGGAAGGAGTGCCCATCCGCGACGCCGACAACGACGGGTGGACGGCGCTGCACTGGTGTGCGTTCCATGGATGTCCCGAGTCGGCAGAAACCCTCTTGGCGTCCATCTCCAAGGACGATGCTGCGTTCCTCGTGAGTGCCAAAGACTCGCAGGGCCGTACGCCGTTGGAAGTGGCGTCGGAAGAGTCGAACGGTGACGTGGCCGAGATCTTGACCTCGGCCAGCGACAGCACGCCGCTCCGCCAGCGCAAACAACCCCTGGCCAAATCGGACGCCACCCCCATCGACGATGTGGATTAAACACCAATATAGTAGATATGTATAGGAGAGTACATTCGTTCGCACGAGAACGCTACTGTAGCTAGTAGTATAACACCAGTACAGTTGAGAGAGTTTTGGTTGGTTGTGAACTAGGGGAGCCAAGTGCTGCCTTGGGACATTCGTTTCTGCAGCAGTTCGAGGCGGGTGGGCGGGATCAGCGGGACCCCCGCGGCGTCGTTCAACTGGTCGTCGTCGTCGGAGCTCGGCAGGAGCTCTTCGCATTCAAACTCGTCGTCGTCGTCATGGCTCGGGCTGTCGTACACGATCTGCTCCACGTCCATCACGGCAGCGGTTGTTTGGTCGAGAGGAGCAGAAACAGCAGCAGCAGGGGCGCCGCTGATCCGTCGCTCCAACGCCGCCAGCGTTCGCTTGGCTTTTTCTGTCGTGTGCGGGCCATTCAAGTGGGTTAATCGGAGAGTTGGCTCCACAGACAAGGTCGTCGGCGCGGAGGTTGGAGGAGGGTTCGTGGTGGCATGAGTCCCGTCGTTGTCATCGTCCGAGGACGGCAGGTCTTCCTGCTCGTACTCGCTGTCTTCGTCGTCGTCGTCGCACTCGGAGAGGAAGCTCCGCCACGTCATTTCTTCGGCGGTCCCTACTTCATCTGCGTGTTTACCCTTGCTTGCTTGCCACGGCCAGTTGTGTTGGCACGTATGCTCAAGCAAGTAGGATGGGTGCAGCAGGGCCCACGGGGTGTAAAACAGCGCAGGGTGCAGGTGCTTGTCCGTGCACCTACATAGTCGATACTTGTACATACGTCCAATGGATTCATTCTCCAAGGGTGTAAGTGTACTCACTCTGGGGGGGCGTTGGTCGTCGTCGCTTTGCGCTCGCGCGCCGCTTCCTCCTCGATGGACTCTTGCATCTCCTTTTCCTTCTTCTTGTGCTCGAGGTACATCTTGAGTCGCTCTTGGTGTTGCTTCTCATCGCTCCACGTCACATCGACTTCAAATTCGGGCATGTCAGCCAACAACCTCGCCCACTTTTTCCGTATTTCGCTCCTAAGATGTGATCAAATCTAACGTTGATTCGGTGGGGCGGCCTCACTTGCCTGGATCGATGGGGCAGATGGGAGTGTGAGATTTTCGCAAATCGATGGCGCTCGCCTTCGGGAAACGACGCCATGCCCCGCATCATGCGAAGCTCTTCTTCAATCAGCCACGGAATCTTTTCCCTTGGTAGCACATTCTCAAAAAAGTCCTTGACGGGGTTCTCCGGGGCCTTGGCGCTGGTGAGAAACCGATACCTACGCCATACAGACCAAACAATGTGAGACGTTTTTTTGCTTGTATTTGATTGCACACAATACCGCGTGCGCAGTTGGTCTTGGGTCTTCATGGGCAGAAACTGGCGCTGGATGGCTTGCCAGTTGATTTTGGGGCTGCACTGCTTGACGCCGTGCACGAGGAGGCGGTCTTCGCTGGCCGTAAACTTGGCGTCTTCTGCTTTGGCGGGGTTGGTCAAGTGAAAATCCACGGCGCCGAGATGGGAGGTCAGGGTGTGCATCGCTAGGTGGTCCACCGAGTGCTGCAACCCGTGAATCTCGTACATGCTTGGACTGATGATGGCGGCGTGCGCGGCGCTGAATGAGCGCGTGATGCGCCTCGACTTGATAGAAGATGTGGTGGGGGTGTCGATGTCGTGGCTGTCGGGGGTGGAAGGAGGCACCTTGCGCACGACAGACTCTTTCCACTGCCGCACCGCGTCCCCCCGTCGTTGCAAGTCCAGGAGCATGTTCTTGGCGTCTTCAGATGGAGACAAGAGCATGCTTTGGCATAATAGTTGAAAGTGTTTGTGCATTTGTGATGCCAGATGGGCCATTTGCCGCGGCGTGAGCGATCCTTTGAGTTGGGCGCCGGGCTGGATCGACACAAACGACGAGGATGGCTTTGATGTGGATGGAGGAAGAAGGTTTGCCATGATCGTGGAAGAAGACGGTGTGTCATTGGGCACTTTGACGTTGGACGAGTCCCACAACAACCCAGACAGCTCGGACTTGGGAATGTCGTCGCCGTCGACCGCATCTTCGTCGTCGTCCACATCGTCATCGTCGTCATGGGGATGGTACTCATCATCTTCCTCAGACAAGAAGCTTAAGTTGTCATCTTCATCTACACTCGGCAGCAACGACGTGAGAAAGCGCCGGTAGTTCTCCTCTTCCTCGATCACGTCCATGTCCAAGCCAAGGTACGACGGGTCATCATCCAGGAAGCTTTCCAGCTCCTCGATTTCCACATCGACAAGCGATACCTAGAGACATCATGGTGAGACACCATGAGCATTATCTTGCTGCATGCTACCTTTGTTCGAGTCCGGAACGCAATCGACCCTTTCTCGGCCGCGGATGGCGCCAACACTGACCGAGCTTCCATGCGACGATAGTATTTTTTAAGGTATCCGGTATCCGGATAACCTTTGTAGCGAGTTCACAATTTCATGTCTTGGCTGATCCAATCTGCCGCCGAAGTGCGGGTGCAACCTTTGGACCAAATCGTCATGTCGTTGGCGCACGAGGGCGATGTGGCGGTGTTATATTCCCACGTGAGCGATGGACTTGCGCAGCATTGGTTGTTATCGGGTGGAAGAGCGGCGAGCTTGGGGTTGAATCGTACGTTCTGTACAAAAGTCGCCCCTTGAAAGGGAATCAACGTCATCCCGTAGGAAGTGTCGCCCCATGCGCACAAGCCGATAGGTTTCTGGATTCAATTACATATAGCATTAGGAAAGCAACATTGGAATTTGTGTTTGATGTGCAAGCGGAAACAAGGATGTGGACATGCAACACTAACGTTAGTGGTTACGTTGCGTACGAAATGCATGGGGAAAACGATGTTACTTGTCATCGTTTGGGGCTGCAACCCCAGCAGTAGTCGATAGCTTCGACACCTTCACGAGTTGAATCTTCATCTGGAGGACTCGAATCGAGATCAAGTAGACGAAGAGAGTGAAAACTGTGACGAGCCCATCTCGCTGCGCAGAGAGGGAGATTTCCGACTTTTCCAATTCGTCGTACTTTGATTGAGAATTTCTACCTTGAGAACTGCGGTAGTCGTTCGTAGCATTAAAGATTTGTGCAACACATAGAGACATGTCGTACATGTAGCGAACAGGAGGACGTATCCGCCCGCGCTAGCGGGGCTGTAGAGCTTACGGCCAAAGGCCCAATAGATCATCTCGGCACAATGCGCGTGGAGCTTTCCCAGAAGTGGAGACATCGCGAGCGACAGCACCCTAATCATATTCATAGTTAAGCACATACCTGCCTCATGGAGATCTTACAGGAGCGATGCCGTCCACGTGACGCATAGCCAAAGCTGTAAGGTCAATGAGAGCATAGGGCGGCAAATTTCGAAATGTCCAAACTTGCGCGCGAAAGATCTTTAGACGACCCTGCTGACCAATCAAAACTGTTCGTTCAAAGTGTAGTCCACCAATCAAATCTCTGGATTTAAAAGTGTAGCTGGCAGTCGACGACAATGCGGCCAATCAAAACACGTCACAACCGTCAACAAAGGACCATAATGGCTCAAGTCCGACCCATGAACGCGATAAAGCCGCGTCGCCACAAGGGGTCACCCGCTGTCTCTACATCGCCACGTGTCAAAGACCTTCCGGGAGCGCGAGGAAACAAGCTGCACGTGTGGATGGGCATCAGATACGTGGCATGCACCTTGCGATAAATTGCTACTACCTTCGGGTACTGTTTCCATTCGTGGTCAACGACTTGAGGTGGCCCCAGTTCAACGCTACGGGAATGCAGACATTCGTCGCATATTTGGTCGGTGCCAAAGTCGCGTGCTAGCACACGAGCGACATTGATCTGTTTGCCCCTGACATGTTCGTGCTGAAAGACTACTCTCGCCCAGACACCTAGATCGACTTTCGATTCCCGTCTCTTCGCCGTGCCTTGTTTACCAAGTTCTCGCTAAAGTCTGTCGTTGGAGCGATGCGAAACAACCCGGTGGAGCACCAATTGAACATGTACTGCTGGCTGGATTTCGGCCACGCGACCAAGCGACAAGCGCGGTGCAGCCAATGGACAACCAACGCCGCCATGTAGTTGGAACCATTGCTGCGGAATATCTTGTCCAACGACAACTGGATGGTGCTGATTGAATCCAGGGCAGCTCACATCCCATGGTTAGATGTTATGAACGACAAAGTGTCCATTCCGCTGCGTCACATCCAAAGCGGAATCACATGGGTCGAAGCCATGCTGCTCCATACACTTGTGTCTCTCTCGGACGAAGTGCCGTTTTGGCGAGCTGTGGGTGTCCAATACTGGTATACATAACCGCGGAACCACACGATTCTCGTATTTTCAAAGACGCGGTGGACGTTGTCACTGCCTTTGGCTTGTGCCAACGTATCACAATCAGCAAAACACCGTCAGGAAGCAACGAGCTTATGACGGCGTCAGTCTCGAACAAGCAAAACATCATGCCGGGCTTGAAAAACGACTTGTCGTGCAACACTGAAGCATTCGGTCGGAGAAAGGGAATGGGAGACCGTGTATTATGCTGCTGCTGGAAACACACACAGAACTGCCGGAGGCCCACTTCCAGGGCCCCCTCAATAGCATCGATTTTCGCATGGTGGACATCCCCGGACCGCTCTCAGCGTATTTCCGCTCGTTTCAAGCATCATTGCCGTCGCTCATTCAAACCAACTCGTCGAGTCCCCGATACATCTGCATGTCCCATCTCGAGTAACGCTGGACCCCGTGCCGGTGGTATGGCTCGACGCAACTAGTTTCAGTGGAGGCAGTCCGCTTTGTATGCAAGACAGCTTTGCCACCTACCCCCAAATGCCCTCGTGTGGCAGCAGCAGCAAGACTGCTCGATGCAAGTCCCAATGCGAGTACTTGCGACGAAACAGCACATACGCTTTGCGATGGCGACCACATTGTCGCATATCGGCATCGAACGTCGATCAATTATGCTCCTTGTGTACGGCCACGGAAGCTGTGTGCGTGGATATGCTCGCAAGTGCGACGTTGTCTCAGGTGAATCTAACTGGCTTGGAGAGGACCGTGGCGATAAACGCGACGGCGTCGTTGAACATCAGCTTGATTCAATCGGAGCCACCAACGCTCTCCTGATTCAACCCATGTTCGACAACAATGAACCCACCGACCGATGGATGTTCTACTCTATGCTGTATTTGACTGGCTGGAAGGCCACCGAGAAGTGGTTGCCATCGACGGCGACATCAACATGTTAACCGTGGTGTCCGACTACAAAGACTTCCTCTTGTTCGCCGTCGATCCGCTCGAGACCCCGTGCAACTGATGCGACTACATCCGGTACCTCCGCGTGTACTGTACATATCGAGCGTCCTCGTGCTCATTGGGGTGTACATCCTCTTGTACGCTTCGTTCGTGTCTTATAACCTTGGCGGGTTCAACCTGACCAAATTCAACCGGGTCGTGGGGTGTGTGTGACTGGGACGTCCTTGCTGGTCGTCCGGGGCACGACCGCCATCGTGCTCTTGAGCACGTCGACCGTTCGTTTTGTCAGCGACGCTGGCCTCGCCCACTTTGTGTCGTCCCCTCGGTCGATGTTGGACACGGTGGTGGTTGCAGGCGAGTCGGTGTGGCTAACGTACGCACTGCAAGACCTCGTCCTTCCCCTGACAGAAAAGTACTCGGCTGTGTACGCCCCCCCTGAGTGCAACATTTGTGTGGGTGTTGGGGGTTCTCGTAGACATCATACGTAGCCCCCCTCGCGCCCAAAGCTACCATCCACCACACATGCACTGCCGTCAAGTTCACGTCCGACTGTACGTTTAGTTTGGGAGCTTGAACCGCCTCCAGCTTATGTTTAAGCCGCGGGCATAGCCTTGTGCTATGTCGTTGCACGAGCATGGTGGCACCGGTTCCCCGAGCAGCACATTGCTGAGCACGCCAACCAGACATCAAGTCGTGGGTGTACGTCCGCATCGCAACGTCCCACCACTCGCAATGTTCAATAGCCACGGCCGAGTTTGTCAACAAAAAGCTGTACCATACTGGTGGATCACCAACCACCATCCTGACACGAATGGCTCAGCTTGTTTGTGTTTGGGTTCATTGGGTTTTCTTTAGGGGGTAGTTACTTGTTCGTTGTGCAAGCTGTACCTCGATCATGACCAAAGACGTTTTGGTGGGAGGCGTGTAATGCCATGGGGCACCTCACGTTGTTCGGCAACTTCTTTGCACGCAATTTGCTCACGGCAAGTGACCTGCCACTCCTCGAGCTCGACAGCGTGGGATACGGCCATATGCAATGGTATAATACCAGCACCACCCTTATTGAATACCCGTTTCTGTACGCGTCGACTGTACAAACCGAAGTCAGCTGCATCCCTGCGGTCATTGAAGGCCTCCGCACGACCGACGCGAATCTCCTGCCTTGGATCTTTAGCCCCTATTGATACGTGGACTTCCATCGACGGTGGGAAATGGCCAACTTCGCCGCCCGCCAGCGATGATGCGTCGCTGAGCGAAGCAACGGGGCCGTGTATTTGGAATCGATTCTGCGGAATGCCGACCACGGCGAAATTGCCTACTCTGTCTTGGGCGGCGCTTTGGACATAGCGGTGTTGGCCTTCCTTCAGGAGTCTAGGACGGGGAAGGTTTGGCTGGACTTGACCTGAAGCACCGACACCACGGTCGACGACGAGGCGCGGTATTAGCTGGAGGCGGGGATTTCCGTGAATAAAACGTAGTGGCAAAACTTCTAAGTATTCGGCGTGATGGAGAAAGTCGAGATTCAAAATGCATAGGGGGCGTCGTATCCCATCACGATGAAGGACTCTAGGAGGTACTTTGCACTACACGACACCACGTCATGCATCATGTACTGGGGCTTGGCCAACGACTTGCTTGCGATCGAGCACGACGAGTCGGGCGTCGATGGCCTGCACCTCGTTCGACAAAGCTCCAAGTTTGCGTTTGCAAACGTGAGCATGGAATCTCTCCTGGCCCAACAAAGTGTCCTTTTGCTTCCCCTGTCCGTCGGCCGGCACATTGTGCGCGATACCCTTGACCCGTTCGGGCCGTGCCCGGTCGCTGTCCGCGCCCTTCACCGCACCATCACTGCAACCATCATGACTGTCTTGAATGTCAACAGCGAAGCCCATGCTACGTTCCTTTCGCTGCCCAGCCTATACGATGGACTCGTGCCCCCGCACAGCTACTACTCGAAAGCGTGGGCCATTCCTTGGGAATATAACTTGTTCTGGGCGGCGACATCTTGTGCGACTCGTTCGGACATTGGGAAGGGATGCTAGGGCGTCTTTTCCCCATGGGCGGCTGCAACGGACAGTCCTTCTGGCCCCCCACAGTCTGCAATCCAAGCCATTTTAGCGTCCGGGTTCGCTGTCAATTCGACCACAGTCACCTTACGTCAAGTATGTGCCCATGACAACTACGACGTCGACGCTTGCTTGATTAAAGTTCAAGCAGCGTTGGCGTTTGTCTCGGCGTATTTAGCCCTGGAACGCTGGAAGTTATTCGATCGGTGGCTCGAGCGCTCGCAATGGAAGAAGTTCGCGACGCGTTGGGCGTGTCGTTGGTGCAGTTTATAGCGTCCCCAGACTCGGATGGAACGTGAGTCGTGCAGTTTTCAGGTGACACCAACCGACCACTGACGATCTTGTCAAAATAGCTGTGGCTGCCCCCCGGTATGGTGGCTAACCCCTGGGAAATCCTCCGGAATATATCACTGCACACGTATCACCTGTCTCGATACATCACATACGTGTTGGCCATGGTCGCCGTCGGCGTGTGCGTGTACATTGTCGGCCATCGCAGGGGTAGAACATGTTTGCGTTCAACGGCGTAGCCGGTGCAGTGTGGATTGGGCGGCCGCTTCTGTTCCTCCGGGGACTCATCGCCCTGTGTCTACGTCGTTGGATCTGGCACAGAACTTCCAAGGGTCCATTTTCGCGATGCGCCATCGGCCCCCCAACACCCTCACGACGTCCGTCTCATCCAACCAAGTCAACTAGCTCGTGTAATGATTAATATTATAATTAATATTATAAAAATACGGCTCGTGTAATGATTTATATAAAAATCAATAATACTACTACGTATTAATAGTACTACGTAGTATAAAAATACAAGTAAAAATAATATAAAATATTTGTTTTTTTAAGAAAACCTTCATATAATGAAATGAAATATCCTTTTGAACTATATTTAAAATTAATTGACGAATATTAAAAAAACAAGTATTAGTTATATTTTGTTTCAGGACATTGTGTAGCCCATGTTCACGTGGATCTTTTTATTTAATTCTGAAATAATCATTTACTCAGTGAGTGCTGGGTGATTGGGTACAATCCCTAATTGTGTATGGACCAATGAAACGACGAGAATATCCGGATGGTGGTTTGGAATCGAAACTTCAAGAACGGGACGAGCATGTTGCGCCACGCCGCCGCAGTCCGCCATCGATTGACCCAGACGCTGGCTTCGCCGCAACCGCTTCAGAGGGATCCCCTGTCGATCCTCAAGACGATCGCCGATGCTGTCCCTTCGTCATTGATGAAGATGACCTCGGCAGACTGGCTGCTTCGACTGACAGTCATGGCACGACACAACTCGTCGCGGCCGCCGTCAACCACCCAGTCCCCTTCGACATTGCGTGGTGTATTGCAGTCCTCAATGAAGCTTGAAGAGAGTGCTTTTCTGAAGGAATTGCAGTACTACGTGCGTGTCTGCGATGCCGTCTACGCTTCGACCCAAGAGCGCTTCATGAAGGACAGTCTCTTGGCCGACTCGAACGTGACGATCGTGCAGTCGCACCAAGGCGGGGTGTTCGCGCCAAAGTACTACGTATATGTCGACCACGACATACAGACCATCGTGCTGGTGATCCGGGGCAGCGCCAGCATCCAGGACTTTGTCACAGATATGTGCATGCACCATGAGCCCTTTCAAACCGGCTACGGTACGCCAAGGTTCTCCAAACCTCGTCTCTGACGTGGCTTCGTCACAGGCCACCGTGGGATTGTCCACGCTGCCAATTGGCTGGACTGGAAGCTCCGCGACGACATGATCAAACTCGCCGCCACCCATCCCACGTACGACGTCCGACTCACCGGCCACAGCCTCGGCGCCGGCGCTGCGGCGCTCTTGGCGCATCTGTGGTCGCCTGTGATTCCCCGCATGCACTGCCTTGTCTTCGCCCCGCCAGCATGTTTAACCCTCGACTTGGCGCAGACGTGCCGAGGCCATGTGACTAGCGTCATCCTTGGCGACGACTGCGTGCCACGACTGAGTGGGGCCAACCTTGTCGCATTGCTGGATGAGGTACTATTTCCTACATTGCTATGTACTATCTATATATGCGACACAGTGAACTTCCCATTTGGATGGCGAAACAGGTGGAGCATTTTGAAATGTCGTCGGCGTTAAAGACGATGGTGACCGAGGAACTTCAAGCCAAAGCCAAACAAACCGAGCAAAGCGCGGGCGTCCGGCACATTCGCCACGCCTTGGGGCGTGTGGAAAGGCTGAAACAGGTAGCCCGAATATGCATGCCACGAATGGGATAGCTCATATTGTATTGTAGACGGCTTCGCAGGTACGCTACTGTAGGTTTGGCAGGGCTATTTGATGGAGTTCTTTCGCATATCGAGTTGGGGTAATTGAAGAAGACAACAATGCTGTATTATATAGAACTGGACGACAAAGCTCTCGTCTATATCGCCTCCGTCCGTGGACACGTTGTCGTGGCTACAAGACAAGCCATTTGCGACTGAATTGAAGCAACTATGGAAGCAACTCGACAAGCGCGGGGTACGTCATTATATGGTTGTCTATCGTTCCGATATATATATACCGCAGATTCATATATATATATATGTGACTAACTCAATCAGGACGAAACTACACTAAAAAGAGTGGACAAAGGCAGCTGGCTAGAAGACAAACCGTTTGTGCAAGAGCTGAAGATGTTGTGGGAGCAAGTAGACTCGCATCTGGTTGGTGCTCTTGAACGATCTGCATGAAACGTATATATATGTAGTCGAATGTGGGTGGGGTTGGTTGATATTTATATATTATCACCAACATAATATATAATCTTGGGGGGCAGGGTCGAACCCAGCAATTTTTATCGCTGGACCCGACGCAATGGCCGCGGGTGTCGGCGTGGCCGTTCCAGGTGACCGCCCAAGAGCAGTTTGAATGGCGCCAGCGCATGGATTTTGTGTCGTCCATGCCAAACAATTCGTCTTCCAAGAGTAAAAAATAGGTTTTTTCTGGTTCTGTTTCAAACGTTTACTTGTAGAACTCATGTCGTTGTGGGGCAAGTTGGACGTGAATGTGGTGGCTATCGAAGGGCTGCTTCGCTTCGTCAACGACCCAGAGCGCAAGCGTCAGCTGGTTGGCCAGATCGAAGGGCTGCTGCGCGAGATTTCCACCACCCGATCAATGTTTACCAACTGTACGTATATATATATATTTATTTATTTATTTATCAATATAATATTTTATGATAATGATAGTGGCGCCGGTGTTGGATCCAATGTCGAATCGACTGTATGAACTGCTCATGGCGACAAAGCACACACTCGAAAAAACCAATGTGGTGATTCCCATGACCAACAAGTACGATCATATATAATATATATATGATATTATCGATCGATTTCTTGGTGGGATGGTGGTAAAATAATATATACTCTATCGCTGTTGTAGTTTCAAATCACCAGCGAATATCGACCCAGCCAAGTAACGTTTGCACTCACATTACTATACACAACTAGTAGACAAACACTCGTTCCGATCTAGGGAACCGAAGCCAACTGCTTCGTCGCCCGTGCTGCAAAACAAAATTCTGTCCATGGTCGATGGTATCTGCGCCGAATTGCGCCGTGAAATCGATTCGATCCTGGAGCTGGGCAAGTCTTCCGTGTACGTGTGAGCCCCCCCATACAACACAAGATCAAGTGTGTGTAGTAGCAGTGGGGATAACCAAGCCAACCAGCGTCAAGTCGACGACGAGCTACAGGGCATGGCCCCAGTGTTCCCACCTGGCAATATAGTTGTCCTTGACACTGTACGTTCCTGCTCATGATATTCGATGGACAGCAAGAAATGATAAGTCGTTGATCAACTAGTCGGGAGCCCACCCAGCGCTGACGCAAGTGTCGGACGTGAACACGTATTTCAACCGGATCATTGTTTCGAATGACATGATTGGGGACCATTTGAGCTCGACGTACGACGACGTGATTCGAAGCATGCTCCAAGTGCGCGAAGAACAAGGCAAAGATCATAGCACCTTCAAGGCGGAGTAAAAACGCAAGATAGAACAGTAATCAAATGCCATACAAATCAGTCGCAGAATTGAATTCAGTGTCATACACAGGCAGCAGCAGCATTCGCGCTACAGTCCTTACTAGCTGGACATATATTGTCCGTCGATCATTAAACTGAACTATATACAGTCGAGTATGATGCATCGTTTGCCTGGATGACTGGCCATGGTTGCAACCCCATGCGGAAAAAGGACGGCGACGGTTTCACGTGTCATGTCGTAACTGCCGCCGGGAAGAATCAAAACCGCCGCCGCCCCCAGCAATGGGTCAAATCGCATCGGCGCCTTGCGGGACTGGCCTCGGGCCCTCCACGGCGTGTAGTGCTGCCACGTGGGAGGACGTGGACGACCTGCAGACGCAGCCCATTGATATCCGGCACTTCCTTCGACGAGCGGAAGACGAGGCCAAGTGCTGGAAAGCAGCCGATGCCGGACCCGTGCCAGTACAGCCCATCCGCCTTCTCCCCACTCCACCAGATCAATTGACCAAAGCGACGGAACGGGCTTCGTCCAAGTGGAATAGGTACAGTCAAGCCACACCGGCGATTCAATGTTCACTTTCTGCATAGTAAGCCACAACATGCGACAGAAGCCATACCTCCCGTAATCATGACCCCGGACGAGGCGTCTGCAGTGTTGCCACGTCTCATGGACGACCGCTGGGTGTACCCCGTCGTGGCCATGGTGGGCAGCAAAGACGCGAAAGTCGCCGAAATGGCGTTGGCGTCGTTGACGAGCATTCTCGAATCAGGTACTTTATGGAAGAATGGACTGAGTACGTGGTGAGCGCGGGGGGGATACATCTAGAATCCAGGCAAGCGATGGCGCTGCAAGCGCAATGCATACCGAAACTCGTCCACGCGTTGACCTATGCCCACCACCAGCGCGCGGCATTCGACGCCTGCACGGCGTTGTGCAATGGCAACCGTACAATTCACTCGATGGATCACTTAGGGCTTCACGTTTACGTGCCTTTAGGAGTTGCGACGGTGGAAATGATATCAAATGGCGTGGTGGACACCGTTTTTGATGTGTGTAAACTCAAACTGTCCAACGCGGACGACCGAAAATGCAGCGCGTTGCAATTGCTCGCTGTGCTCGCCAAACAATGTACGTCCGTCCGTTCATCCTACTACTAGTAGCTATTGGACAAAAGTTCAACTTTGCTTTGGATCAATCAATCCATTAGTGGAAGGCAAAACGCTTGTGGCGACACTGGAGAGGGTGACGCTCTTGGTCGACTTTCTCTCGCACACCCATGCCCCCATTGCATTTTACGCCTTGTCGTGCCTAAGCGAGTTGTTCCACTGTGGTGCGATGCTTAGCCACTTTTGCAGCAACTCTGACCTGCCTCTGTCCGTAGAGTCGGCTCGAAAAGACGCCATTAGGCTCGGCGTCATCCCCACGCTGCTGCGATACCTTCACGCGTCCACCACATGCAACAAAACCATCCTCCTGCAAGCTGTGTATGCACTTTCGATCCTCGGAACCCACGAGTCGGACGCGTTTCCCATGGCTGAGTCGGTCAAGGCGATTTGCCAGGTCATGGAAATCCTCAGAGGGGCGCTCAAGCGGTCGCGGCTGGCCAGTCTCGTGTGCATGTTCGTGACGGGGTTGTCGTGGAAACATCCGTCGTGCCAGCGTTTCCAGCACGCCCTCCGAGATAACGCCGCTCCAAACTTGTTTGCCATCCTCGCGAGTCTGCTCATCGGGGGGTCGAACGACGTGCTGTGTGCCGCCGCCCTCGCCGTCGGCGCCCTTAGCCACAGATGTCTCCCCAACGTGCAAGCATTTGCCAAGCTAGACGTCCACACAATTCTGGCAAAGATGCTGCCCCACAAAGATGACCGTGTTGTGACGTGTGTTGCTATGGCGCTCACGAGGTTCCTCACTGCGTTCACGCTGCAGGCCAAACACATGCATTTACTGTGGGAACCGTGGCAACAAGACGTTGCGCAAGCCATTTCCACCTGCTCGAGCCCCGATGGCACCTCACTCGACATATTATACGCCGCCGTGTTGCGAAAATACCACAAGGAGCAACAGCAACAATATCCCCTGGAAGTGGATCCTCTCGACGTGAATAATTATCAATCGCCGTTGTTGTCGTCCCCAGCTCTGTCTGCGTCGGCATTTGAGCTGCAAGCCGCGCTCGATCTGTTCGTTGTGGAGGGTGAAAAGCGAAGGTGGGCCAACGACGAAGCCGTGGACTGCTTGCTTCATTGCGTGACCTTGGCCGCGACAGACATGCAGCTGGAACTGCTGCTCTTCTTTCAAACGTGCACCAACCCATTGGGCGGGGACATTGAACCGGTCGAGTTCTGCAACCTCTTTCTCGTCCACGATGGTTTATTGCTGTTTCTATCGCTGCTGGAGTCGCCAACCCTCGCCCCGTCGCATCTCTGCAGCGTGCTTCACACCCTCAAGCATCTCACGGTGGCCTACTACACCTCCCCGTGGCCGCAACCACCGTCCGCCGTGGTGGACATGGTTCAACATGTCGTTGCGTTGATTGCCCGAGTGGACAACCTGGATGTCCAGCGCCTCACCACCAAACTCTTGGACGTGCTCACTGAGACCAAATGCTGTCAAGTCTACCCCACGTTGACCACTTTGCTGGCCTCGAACCCCCACTCTGTGGCGAACCTGCTGTTTGCCAACTGCCACAGCATCCAGCACGGTGCAGGTATCGTCGTGAGCCGCGTCGTGCACCATAGTCGGGGGCAATGGACCCCCCTCCCCAGCGCCCTCCTCCAACTCACGGCGTTGCTGCAGAGTCCGTCACACGACGTGACGTATGCTGCGTCGCACGCATGGGGAAGCCTTCTCGACCGAAACGACTTGTGCCTTGTGTTTAGCACATATCCGGATGGCGTGCCTGCCTTGCTGGACCTGCTAGAAGCCCCCACTCGCCGTCCCAAGCACCTCGTGGACACGGGACGCACCCTCTACCGCGCCACAAAACACCCCGAGATTCAGCCATTGCTAGTTGGCCGGGGGTTAGCGCTTCTGGAGCGTCTGATGGTGCATCCAGTTGACGCTGTGGGGCATTATGTCATGCTAACATTGGGTCTCGTGGGTAAAAACGACGCACTTCGTCCGGCTGTGGTGACACCCACTTTGGTGGCCCAGCTTCGAGCGTTTGTGGCCTCTGGGTCGTTGTTGTTGAAGGGGGATGACGACGATCCAAACGTGGCTTCGTTCCATGAGCCACGGCGATTGAGCAATCTCATGGACGCGCTGTGCTGGATCGGCGAAGTGGCGGTGGACGCTGCCACACAGCAAGTGTTGCTTCACGCGGGGGTGGTCGATCAAGTCGCCAACGTGGTTTTAACTAAGGGGCCTATGTCAGACGTCAAACTGTGCGCGTTGTCCGCCATGGCGAGTCTGTGCTCCAGCGATCCCACCACACGCAACCACGTGCTGGGGGATGCGCTCGTGGACGCCGTCCTTCGGCATTTGGACACGACATCGCACAAGGAAGGCGACGACGCCGACGAAGAAATCGTGCTCATCTGTCTGAACATTCTGCTGCATTTACTTCGAGCCCCCACCGCCCAAGGTATCATTGCGAAAAGCCCTCGGATGGGCAACATTGTACAGACGCTTCGATACACGAGCGATAAGGTGCGGTCGCTCGCCGCCCAAGTGCTGGCGATGCTGGCACGGCGCCACGACGCTGTCAAGGCCGACATGTGTCGTATGGACGTCAACAACATCCTTCTCAACGTCGTCGTGGCCGAAAGTCACAACGACGACAACGATGACGATAGGAAGGATGTGATACGCATCAACGCCGCCAGTCGAGTGCAGCGGCATGCGTTGCATGCCATGGCGGTGCTCTGCGAAGGCACGTCCCCCGCGGCCAAAACCAACAAGCACGAGACGCTCGACTTTCCACTGGCGATGAACCTAACTGACTTGCTTGAGGTGCCAGGAAGCGACGACGCCGTCGAGTCCACAGCGCTGCTTGGCGCCGTCCTAGCCAATACCACGTACCACTCGGCTCGCAACCAGCGCTTGCTGCTCCAACGAGGTGTGGAAGCCAAGTGCATAGCGTTGGTGCAGTATGTGTTTGCTACGACCAATACCACCAGTCCATCGTCGTTTTCCGAAATGCTAGCCGTCGAAAGCTTGAAAACTCTGACGAATCTGGCCACCCATCCAGAGAACCGCAAGGAAATGGGAACGGATCAGTCGCTATACGGCGCGCTACTGATCGCGCTCCAGTCCGACGTTTCGTCGTTGCATCGCTTTGCATCGCTGACCATGGCACACTTGTGTACTGGCAGTAACGACCCCCACAAGATCGCCATGGGCGCATACGGCGGGCTCCTCCCCGCCTTGGCCGAGCGGTAAGTTTCTAGCGTTTTTGGCTTCGTCTAGCCCAAATACACACATATATGTACAAGTAACTACTGTCCCCATGTGCCTTATTTAGGTTGAGCTCCAAGGACCCCCATGTACTGGAAAACGTGTGTTTTGCCACCACCAAGCTCGGCACGCACGGGGGCAACAAGATTGTGTTTGGAGCCAACTTGATCTTTGAGCGACTCCTCCCGTTGGTGCTGCACGCCGAAGTGGCGATTCAAAAGATGGCCATGACCGCGATCGCCATCTTGATCGAAGGCAACGACCGCAACAAGGCGTCGTTGGTGGAGTGCAATGCCATTCCCATCCTCTGCAGCCTCTGCAACGACCATAATTCCGTTCACGGCCGCATCCTCGAAGGCGCGCTGCACACGCTGTCGGAGCTCGTGATTGGTCAAGTCGTCGAAGTGTCCAAGTACATCAACCCCACTATGGTCATCGATATGGTGGGCAGTGTCAACTGCAAACTCCAAAAGGCCGCGCTCGTGTTATTGGCCCACCTGACCAAGGAATCGTTCAACAAACTTCGCTTTGGGGCCCCCCCGTGCATTGCCGCACTTGTGACCTGTCTCCATACGATGCCGCGAACAGACGACTCGAATGACGAACGAAGGCGGGACGACCTCGACGACTCGCTCCCCATCAGCCGATCGCTGCTCGACTCCGAGGCGGACTTGGCTTTGGTCGAACTGGCCGCGACCTCGCTCGCAAATTTAAGCTTTGAGGCAACCAACAACACCACCATTGTCGTGGACGCTGACCCGGACAACCAGCTTATGGCTCGCCTGGGAGAACTCATGGAGTCTGCGATGCAAATCGCCTACGATTCTCGCGCGTCGCCGTCCAAAGTGGCCAAGAAACAACAACTCAGTCCGCTCAAGGCCAAACAAGTCATTGGTTCCCCCAATCAAGACCAAAGTGCAGACAGTAAAAGCGCGACCAGTGAGCAGCGTGTCGTGGCCCCGCTGCTGGCCAGTCGACCTATGCAGTGCCAACACATCCTCGAACAATGCGCGCTGATTGTCAACAACTGCGCGCATGTCATCCTACGTCACGGCGTCGTGACCGAACCCGTCGTCGCCATCGTGTGTCGCATGCTCGCGCATTCGAGCGACCTCGTAAAAAAGTGTGCGTGTTTCGCCCTGACTACGTGGTGCTCCAAGCAGCCCCAGCACCAGCAGTGGGTGCTATCGCAGCCCACAGCCGTGCTAAGTACGCTCATTGGCATGCTGAATTCGTCGTCGCAAGGCATCGTCGAAGCATCCCTTTGGATCCTCACTAAACTGTCCATGTACCAAGACACGTATGTGAAGATGGCGGCCAACGACATTGTCCGGATTCTGGAACACATGATCTTCCGGTACCACACGACGCTGGGGTCGGGGGTGCTGGACCGCGCGATCCGGCTGCTGGGAAACCTGGGGCTACACGATGTCGTGCGCAAGACGATTCGGGGGGAGGTGATCGTCGCCGGGCCTCTCACCAGCATTCTGGAGCACCAAAAGGGGACGGACGGTCCGTCGTCCATGCCCGACACCAATCCGTCGGCCAAGGCGACGACGGCGACCACCGTCATCTCGCACGTCAAGAACGTGGCTCGGTTGATTGGGATCCTTCTCACGGACGACGCGCTCAAGCTGTTCTTCCCCAAGAAAACCCTCACGGTGCTGCAGACGATTTACGTTGGCACCAACGCCCCCCCTGTAAAAGTCCGGCGCAACATCATCGTGATCTTTTGGCTCTTGTCGGTCGTGGAGGAACACCGGCCGCTGCTGGCCCATCCGGACAAAGACGTTGTGGGTCGCTTGGTTATGGCGCTGGCTCGCGACGAGCACGAGCTTTACGTCCGGGCGAATGTGCTGGCCATGCTAGCCATGTGGAGTCAGCACGACACGATCTGCCAGACTTTGTACGCCCGAGACATTGTTGCGAGCGTTCTCAAGTACTTGGTGGTCCCTGACCTCAGCTGCGACACATTTTGCGCGGTGATTATCCACCACTTGTCCAATTTAAAAGACACTGTCCGGACAAAGTTGGCGGCCGAAGGCACGACCGAGATCGTCGTGTCGCTGTTGGAACGATGCGTGAGCAACCCGGCGCCGTTTGACCCGTTCGGGTACCATTTGGTGGGTATTTTGGCCAACCTGACAGTGCAGGACGACGTCAAGTCAGTCGTCGTGCACGTCCATGGCATCCACACAATTCTAGCGTTTCTGCGACAGAACATCAACTACAAGTTCCTTGACGACGCCAAAGGAGGGGATGTCCTCGACTTATTTGCCAAAGTGGTAGCGAATCTATCGTTTGACGACACTTGCAAACCCGACTTGATCGACTTGGGGGGGTTGGAGCTCGTGCTTCAAGTGCTAAGCCGACAGTTCGCGAGTCTCGCCGGCGTCGAAAACTACGTCTTGTGTGTAGGAAACCTCAGCACGGTCGCCGACTCGATTCCAAGGCTCGAAGCCACCAGTGCGATTCCAATTCTGTTGGATTTGTTGGAACTCCATCAATCTACATCCCCTTGGATTGTCAAGTGTGCAATCTGGGCCATCTCCAACATGACACTGGATTCTGCAACGAGCAAACATCAACTCCACGGGTATCCGGGGGGCTTGGACCTAGTCTTGTCGCTGCTTGTGACGGAAAAGAACAAGCAAACCGACACCATCATTGAATGCGCTTTGTCGTGTCTGAGCAGCATCGTCATGGAGGAAGAGATCGCCTGCAGTCTGGGGAAATGTTCGGCCATTGGGCACATCCTTCGGTTCCTGGAACCCCATGTGCGCCAGAGTTTGCAGCGCAAGGCTGTGAAAACCATTGGATGTCTGGCTTCCTTTGGCCACGCCGTCTACATCGACGACCTCTCGCGTACCCACACCCACCTCCTCTCGATCGCTACGGACGCGAACCTCAAATCCATCGCGCCCAGCGCCATCAACGCCCTCCGTCGCATCTCCCACCTCCGCAACGAAAGCCCCCACGTCCTCTGCGACAACGTGCAAGGCATTGACGCCCTCCTAAAACTGATCCAATCGGACGCCGCCAGCACCGTTCTCGACGCACTGCATTTGATTCACCACATTGCCACGGTCACGGCGCCCATCTCATCCAACGCAGAGTACTTTGCCTCCAAGCGGACGTGCACCCAAGCGTCCGAGCTGTTGGTGTCGTCGTCCAATGTAGAGATTCAGGAGAGCGCCGTGCGTCTGTGTGTCTACCTCGTCAAGCAGACCAACTTTGATGGATGCAGCCAGCATGCAGAGAACTGGGCGCTCGTGCTATCGCGGCTGTGTCGGTGGTGGGAACAACACCAATTCAACTTGTCATCCCATGAGTTATGCCCTAGCTTGCTGGCTGGGTTCGACCAAATGATGGCGTTCCCGGTGTTTATTCGCACGCTGAACGATGCGATTTTGACTAAACCGAGTCTGAAATGTTTGGCTGACCTGTTACCAGCGCTGGTGGCCCAGAAGGACGAGCCAGGAGGCAACACGTTACCTTGTGTACGGTCGCTGGTGCATTTAGTACAAGACCATTCGTATTACAAAGCGCAGTTGCAAGGCGATTTGCCCGCCCAACTGCTGCAGTTGTTGCTGGTCACCCCAGACGAAGAAACTGCAATTTTGCTCGTGGTATTGCGGGGCATGGAAATATACTGCAGCGTTCCCCCTACAGTCTGCGACGTGTTCGTGCAAGTCGTGGGGGCTGTTCGACTGCTCCACTTGCTCTTTGACGTTGATGTGCATGTTGTGGCGAAAGCGCTTGCCACGATCCACCTTTTGGTTCATGAACCGACGGCTCCAGGGGTTTTTCGGATGGCGAATGGTGTCGGGGCGATGGCTACCAAGCTGAAGCAGGAGAACCTTCCGAAGGACAATAACGTCAAGTTGCTGCTGTGTCTGGCCGCGCTGTGGGAGGACACACCCGCGACGTGTTGCGCGTTCCACGACAGCCATGTGATTTCAGTCGTGATGGCGAAAACGCTCGAGGTTCACTTTGCAGAGTCTCTCACGCTATTGCAAGGGCTGTCGACGTCCATTTCGTTTCACGCGGCGTTGTTCAACCACGCCGCTACCTTCTTGGAGCTGTTGAGCCGTCGGGCGAGCCATTCAGGCAACGACACGGTGCTGTTGCTGCTGATCATGTGCAACATGTGCTGCTGCGGTCCGTCGTTCGACCACGACGCCACGCGCCACATCCAGTCGTTTGCCATGGAATGGGTGGACATGAACGTGATGGGGACGTTGCTTCCCCTTTCCCAATGGATGGACGGCGTGCAGCCCCCCCGGCGGTCGGCCAAAGTGTCGCCGCGGTGGGAGACGGAAACCGAATTGGTCCTGCGGATGCTCGGCCAAATCACGCGGGACCCCCACCTGCGACTTGTTTTCCGGGACGGAGTGGACCTGCCGGACCTCCTCTCGTTGCTACGTCCCCAGCTGTCGACCTCGGAGCTGCTTGGGATGGGGGTGCTACGAGGTGCGGCGCAAGTGCTGGCCAACATTTCGTTGGAAAAGGACATTCAAATCATGATCATCGTCGAAGATGGCGTGACGTTCTTGGCCAAGTTGCTCATGCTGCAAAATCTGCCTCAAGACAATGACGGGCTCGCGCTTGCATTGGTGCAGACGGTGCGAAATTTGTCGCATGACTCGGAAGTCCAGGCGATTCTAGGGGCCCACCACACGTTTCCATACTTTATCCAACAAATGCAAGTTCTTGCAGCTATGTCAGACATGGCCTTGTCCAGCGGGCTCGAGGTGCTGAGCGTGGAAATCATCCACGACATTGCCACAACACCTCAATGGGTCGACACCCTAGTGGGCGACCGCTGCCACGACGTCCTCTTGGCGCTGATCGATCGCCACGTCGACGAGTGCCATCACGTGCCCATCGAGTTGCTCGCCGTGCAAACACTGGTTCAGTTAACCCAGACGTCGGACGTGAAGGCTCTTTGTGCTTCAAATGCAGTGATTCGATTGGCTCAATTGATGTCCTCGCACTACTTTCCGACGTTCTCGACCTTGTCCGAGCGAAAAGCGACCGAATTCGCGGCCCTCTTGACGGCATTGGCTCGGTGTACTCGAGCGTCGGACACTGCGCGCAGCCAGCTCGCCAAGTCTGAGAAATTCCTGGCGCAGTTTACGACTTGGTTTGTCCACGATGCCGTCGAGTTTGTGGACGAAGCGAATGCCGTCGCCCTCCTGTCCAACATGACTTTAAACGTATGTCAAGCGGTGGCTCAGCAGGCTGCCCCGACGTTGCTTACTCGCGTGGCGCAAGTTTGCATGGATGTACAAGCAACGCCCGAGGTCCACACATCGTGTCTGCACTTGTTGGCACAGTGTCTTGGTGGACACGTCGATGCCGTCGACCAAACCGCGTGGGAGTATGCGTTCGTGCCGATGTTCCTCGCATCCTCCCCACTGGAACACGCCCTTGACCACACGCTTGGTTCTGAGGCTGCCGCCCACGGCCTTGTCGTGCTCCAGGGGTGCTTGAAGTATGGAGGGTATTCCATGACCCCCTTTCCTGTCCCCCTTGCAGTGGTCTTGGCCGTGGTCGCGGCCCTCGGTTCGTCCACAAACCCAAACATCGCTGTGGAAGTTCTCCAGCAACTGGTCACGTCCACAGCAACTCGTCGGTTAATTGCCATGTCATCTGCGTTTGACTCGTTTGTGACCGTGGTGAGCCGCCACGATTCTTTACTGGGCCAAAGCCCCGTGCAATCGGTCGCGCGGCAGCTCGTGGACGACGCCATAGACATTCATGTTCCGCGAGACGAAGCCATTGTGCCGCTCCTGCTGCACAAGTTCCTGCCAAAGGACACGGTGCAGCTGTCCGTGCTGTCGTTGTTGGGGCATCTGGCCCTCTTTTCGCCGCAGTGGTGCAGCCTCGTGCTCGCTCAAGTACAGTCGACTGCGCCGGCCATGGCGCTTCTCTCCAAGCATGTCGAGTCCATCCACGCGCGCACGTGCAGTCGCGCCAGCATCAACGCCACGGCCGTCGTGTCCACCCACGATATGCTTCGCGTCTATTTGTTCGCGATCACGCTAAAGGAGCTGACGTGGGCCGACGTGTCAACGGCCGTGTGCTTTGTCTCGGACATCTTGTCGTGGTTCACGTCACAGAAATCTACTCCTCGTTTTGTCGACATTTACCCCGTCTTGCTCTACTGCACGTCGTGTCTATTGAAGCCGACCGCCAATACAAATGATGTCAGCAGAAGTAAACAAATCAATGGACAAAGAAGGTCGTCGTCCACTGGCATCCTCGACGACGAGCCGTGGCAAGTTGATATTTTGCGCGATGTCGTACACATTCTCACGGTGGCAACAGACATCCCGATCCAAGTGTCGGGATTGAACACGTTGGTGACGATCAACAAGCTGTGGCAATCCGACCGGAAACTGTTGCAATTGGTCGAAGGGTCGCCCACCAAAGCCATGACGCTTCAGCGCATTGTGGGTCTTGTGGTTACGACACACACGGCGGCACTGGAAGTTCTCACGCTTATGGTGACGTCTGGCCACCAAGACCTCGTCGACGAACTCAAAGCTATAGGGACGAAAGACAAACTCGAGTCGCTCCAAGACATTCTACAGTCATCGCAGGACAAGGCTATGACCACGGCCATTCTCGACCTTCTCGGGTACAGCATGGACCTAAGCGAAGCGTTTGTGCTGGACCTACACGCCTTTGCCGACGACAACCTCGTCAACAACCCCGCCGAACGCTCCGCCTTGATGACCAAACTGAAAGCCACGCTAGACATGGGCGTCGTAACCGACCACGCCATCTTGACCGTGGTCGTCCCTGTGCTCGTCGAAACTGCTGCCCGCGACCGCACGTTCGTCAACGAGTGCGTCCAGTGTCTCGGCAAAGTCGCGGGGTTTCCCGCGTTTGCCCAATGTCCCATGGCGCCGCCCATTCTGCTGCGCTTGTACGTGAATGAGTACTTGACACTTACCCCCGACAATCAAGACCTTTTGCTCGACATGCTGTTCATGTTGCAGTCCCACCAAGGCGACTTTGATTGGCACGACGACTGGCATGCGCTGGACAAGCTCCTCGGCCTAGCCGCGTCGGTCCTCGTGTGTCAAGTGTCTGCCGCCGCCCGCATCATGACGTTTGTGTGGAGCGCTGTCGCCGGCCACGACGAGCTGCTGCACCTCGTAGCCTCCCAAGCCCACCTGCTCGTACCCCTGTGCGCACCCGTCCTGACTGGCCCCCCGCCGCCCATGTCGAAGAAGATCGACCAGTTGGCCAAACCCAACCAAGTCGTCCATGTTGTCCTCGTTCGCCTAGTGCATGCGCTGTCGACCTTGTCCACACTCTCACCCGACATGCTGAAACCCTTGGCCCCCCTCGTAGAGTCGTTGGTGCATTGTTTGGCCACGTATCCTTTGCACTCTGTCGCCAAGCAGCAACCCCCGCAGCTGGCGTACTTAAGCGATATTGCGTCAATTGTCCTCCAATTTGCAACCCACGTCGACGACACGACGTTCTTTCTGGACAAGGCATTGAAACAGTTGATGGGCGCTGTAGAGTCGCTACCGCCTTCGCACCTTGGACTGCGAAACCACCTCCTGCAACTCCTCGCGGCACTGACCCAACTCCCCCCCGTCGTTGGCGCCCTGCACCGCCTTCAAGGCCTGGACAGCTTTGTCCGACTGTTTCACTCATCCACTGCCAAGATGGACCAGCAAGCTCATATCTTGGCCTGCTTGGCCCAGAGCGCAAGGATCGGGGGGTTGGAGTCCGAAGTGATCGCTCGGTTGGTGGGCCATCCGTCGTCAGCGACCGAGTTGTTACAATGCCTGAATCGATCGTCTCGGGAACCGCAGGAACACGCTGCGTATTTATTGTCAGCGCTGCTGCTGCTTCGACCCGACTTGGGCGGGACCGCTGGCTGCGTGTCGATGCTGGTCGAGTGCTTGGAAGCGGTCGACATCGTCGTGGTTCGATATGTTCTGGTCTGCCTCAGCAGCATTCTTCATGTGGACGGAACCCAAGAAACACTGCTAAGACATGCCACCGTGCCCGTGCTGGCCCAGATTCTGCAAAAAGCCGACGACGTGTGCACCGAGCACGTGTTGCGCGTGTTGGCTATCTTGTGTTCCAAACACAAAGTGACCGTGTGTCGTCGAGTGGTCGCCGCGAACTTGCTCGGAATTCTCATGAGCACAGTGCAACAGCAGGTTGGCCAGCGACGGTCAAATGTGTTTCACGCGTCGTGGGTGCTGAGTTGCATTTCCAAAGACAAAGACCTTGTGTTTCGCATGCACGAAGTGGACTGTGACTTTGTCCTGAATGTGGTCCAGCAAATCGACCTATATCCACTGCCCACGGTCAACAAACTCCTTCGCTTCGTCGGCAACGTATGGACGCACGAGTCCGCGGGCCTTCCCGTGGCTGGCATTGTTCGGAAACTCTTGGGTCTGGTTCCCATGTCGGAGGTACAGTACATTTTGCCTTTTGCAAGTTGTCGTTGATTCTTCCATCTTCTATTCTCATGTTGCTTATAGAATGCCAAAGTGCAAAAGAATGGCGGGCGCGTGTTGAGTTTGCTGTTTGTCCTGCCAGAAATGGATGCTCTCGAGGATATCGTGTTGGCGCTGGCGCAATATCTGTTTGACACGTTGCCGTCCAGTCTAGACAAACTGGTTGCTGCGTCGTTGGTGGCCCTTGTGGACGGGTTGCAGCAGCCGGACTCGACCACAGATCGCTGCATTCGAAGTCTCGTGGCCGAAGAAGGCGATCATTTCCTACACATGCTTCATCTGCTTTCGCCGAATTCGTTCCATCCAGTCACCAACCGCCTTCTGCTGGCCTTGCAATTCATCACCGCGTTGGTCAACTCGAATGAGATGGTCCAGCGTCTTGAACCGATGTTGCTCCCCCCGTTGCTCCACCTCTTGAGCAACGACCCCCTCGAGCATTTGAACTCTTCAACTATCAAACAGCTGTTGGGGGTCCTCAGTGGCCTCACGAGAAGCAACGCGTCGTCTCTGGCCATGAACCCCATCGTCGTGGGCGCCATCAAGCGGCTGGTCGGCCTAGCCCAAGAAGACGACTCGTACCACACGGAAGCACTACATGTGCTCGTCAACTTTGCGTCTGTGTCAGACTTAAGGCAGTCCATCGTGCTGCACGGCGGACTTGCGGCCCTTCTCCTCGAACTGGAGGACGACATGGTGGACGCCCATCTTCAGCTAGCGCTGCTAGGGGTCGCAAACCTCTCGGCCGACGATTTGGCCAAGCAAACAGTGCAATTTGCACCGCATGTACCTCGATTCCTGGCTTTGTTGTCTGCCCCCAACGCCAACGTTCAAGCATTGGCCGTGTGGATTGTCTCCAACATTTGCGTTATCGGTACGTCGTCGGATCAGTTGATTTGATTGGTATTCTTACTGGACCTGTCTAGACGCTGTGCGTCGCACCATCAACGCCGAAAATGGAGCGACGGTGCTGCAATCGCTCCTCAACGAAGTAAACAGTCCTGCCGTGACCTCTCGTCCCCTCTCGTCCAGCAAAAGAATTCGAGAAATGGCCCCCAAAGCTATCCAAGATCTCGGATTCGCCCCTCTTCACCTTTAACCCCAGTATTTTAATAGCTCTCATAAATTTTCAGCAACGTTAGAGACGTGTGATGTCTACTTCGAATTACTCCGGAGCACTACGTAGTAAGTAGTACTATGTATTAATATTACGCTTATTAATAGTAGTTGTTTTGGCCTGTATGGTCTGTTGTACACTCTGGAGTACTGTAGTACTAGTACATACTAACGTTAGTACTACGTAGTACATTATAACTTCCATGGAAGTTCCTGTCGTAATTGGTACACTTGAAGTTCAATATGAGGTGATGCTTGAAGATAGTTTGTCGCAGAAGCCATATGTAGACCAATCCAACCTCTGTGAAATCACGTTGGGGAGCTCACATCACACGTAGTATTCTCCACTTACGTTTCATACGATCGAGTGCACCTTTGATACATGCTTCTACACGAGTTGTTACAGAATCACTAAAGTTTGCAATCAAATTGCACGTGTGAGCAAGTTGAACACAAATCTCTGTGCTCCTGCATCATTCAAAGATCGCATGATAGTAATCGATTACAAATCCAGCTGGAGGTTGCCCACAATCCAACACAAAAACACGCGATTATGGCGTATTTATGTCATCTTGATCACTGTCCATTGGGCTTCAACGAGATATGCACTTGAACCAAGTTCAGGTGTCGACTTCATTTTCCAATTTGCTTGCTCATCCTCGAACCATGGCATCAACCACTGCTGCTCCGTCGACCACCAAGATGCAACTGGTCGGGTTCAAGAACTTTGTGCGCCACAACCCCAAGTCGGACCGGTTCACCATGCACAAGTTCCACCACGTCGAGTTCTACTGCCAGGATGCAACTAACGTGTCCAAGCGCTTCGGGTGGGGCGCCGGCCTCAACTTGGTTGCCAAGTCAGACCAGAGCACGGGCAACCACGCGTACGCCAGCTACGTGATGCAATCCGGCGACCTGCAGCTCGTGATCACGGCGCCATACTCGCGCCAGAACCAAAAGACCACGTCAACGGCGCCGCTGCCCCACTTCGACGTGCCTTTTGCCCATGAATTCTGCGCCAAGCACGGGCTGGCTGTCCGGGCGATGGGCATCTCCGTGGAAGACGCCAAGGCTGCGTACGACATCTCCGTGGCCAACGGCGGCGAGGGCGTGACCCCCCCGCAAGAGCTCACGGACGCCGCGACCGGCCAAGTGTCTGTCGTGTCCGAGGTCAAGCTGTACGGCGAAGTGGTGCTGCGCTTCGTGTCTGGCAACTTTGCAGGTCGCTTCCTCCCTGGCTATGAAAACGTCGAAGGCCCAGATGTGAGCATTGGCCTCCAGCGCCTCGACCACGCGGTGGGCAACTTGCCCAACTTGCTCGAGGCCATGGACTACGTGTGTGGGTTCACTGGCTGGCACGAGTACGCCGAGTTTACGGCGGAAGACGTAGGCACAGTCGACTCGGGACTCAACTCGATGGTGCTGGCAAACAACACAGAGACCATCCTATTGCCTATGAACGAGCCTACGTTTGGCACCAAGCGCAAGTCTCAGATCCAGACGTTCTTGGAGCAAAACGAAGGCCCGGGCCTCCAGCACATGGCGCTCAAGACCAACGACATCTTCCACACACTGGCCGAGATGCGCAAGCGTACGCACTTGGGCGGGTTTGACTTTATGCCCAAGCCGTCTGCCGCGTACTACAAGAACCTCCCGGCGAAGATTGGCGACGTGTTCACGGCGGCGCAGTACGAGAAGATCGAGCAGCTCGGTCTGTTGGTGGACAAGGACGACCAAGGCATTTTGCTGCAGATCTTCACCAAGCCATTGGGCGACCGCCCCACGTGCTTTTTCGAAATCATCGAACGAGTCGGATGCATGGAAGAGATCGGTGGGCGATTGGAACAAGCCGCGGGCTGCGGCGGGTTTGGCAAGGGCAATTTCTCGGAACTGTTCAAGTCCATTGAGGAATACGAGCGCACGTTGGACGTCTAGATTGGATTAAATGTATAAACGTGACGTTAATGGTGTACTTTTGGGTTTTGACTTGTCGAACGGTCCCTAGCTTTGTAGGCAGACCCCGTGCATGGAATTTGTAAGCGTAATCGACTATCAAGCGATCTTGAAAGGCAAATGTATCGAATCAACTTGGCCTCAAAAGTTGGCGCAATTTGCCCTTTGAAGTTGCAGTTTTGGTGTATGTCATCCACTCGGTGAGTGTGTGATAGAAATAAATACTACAGTCAGTATACGAGGCTTTTGGTTGTCAACTGAAAGGCAGCCTAATTACTATACCGTGAAAGGCAACTAATGTACTGGTTGGTAATACCGGTGTGCTAATGTTCACCACAGACTAAATTTACCCGTGCAGAAGTAGTAGCCCTTGTAAATCACAACATGGCCAAACAATCATCGCGATACGTTTAAGCTTAGCAAAATAGTATTGATGGTTCATATAATAATACAAAACTGGGAGACTTCTTCAACTTAGACGTCCAACGTGCGCTCGTAGTCTTCAATGGACTTGAACAGTTCCGAGAAATTGCCCTTGCCAAACCCGCCGCAGCCCGCGGCTTGTTCCAATCGCCCACCGATCTCTTCCATGCATCCGACTCGTTCGATGATTTCGAAAAAGCACGTGGGGCGGTCGCCCAATGGCTTGGTGAAGATCTGCAGCAAAATGCCTTGGTCGTCCTTGTCCACCAACAGACCGAGCTGCTCGATCTTCTCGTACTGCGCCGCCGTGAACACGTCGCCAATCTTCGCCGGGAGGTTCTTGTAGTACGCGGCAGACGGCTTGGGCATAAAGTCAAACCCGCCCAAGTGCGTACGCTTGCGCATCTCAGACATGGTGTGGAAGATGTCATCGGTCTTGAGTGCCATGTGCTGGAGCCCCGCGCCTTCGTTTTGCTCCAAGAACGTCTGGATCTGCGACTTGCGCTTGGTGCCAAACGTAGGCTCATTCATAGGCAACAGGATGGTCTCTGTGTTGTTGGCCAGCACCATCGAGTTGAGTCCCGAGTCGACCGTGCCGACGTCGTCCGTGGTGAACTCGGCAAACTCGTGCCAGCCAGTGAACCCACAGATGTCGTTGACGGCTTCCATGAGGTTGGGCACGTTGCCCACGGCGTGGTCGAGGCGCTGGAGGCCAATGCTCACATCCGGGCCTTCCACGTTTTGGTAGCCAGGGAGGAAGCGACCGGTGTAGTTGCCCGAGATAAAGCGAAGCACCACGTCGCCGTACAGCTTAACTTCCGACAGCACTTGGAATTCGCCGGTCGCGGCATCGGTGGACGTCTTGGGGCTGGTGACACCCACCGCGCCGTTCTTGACTGCGGTTTCGTACGCAACCGTGGCGTCATCGACCGAAATGGCCATCGCGCGGACGGCCAGCCCGTGCTTGGCGCAGAATTCGTGGGCGTACGCGTTGTCAAACCCTTGGTTGGGGGCGATGTTGTCGGCCTTTTGCTGTTGGCGCGAGTACGGCGCCGTGATGACGATCTGCAGGTCGCCCGATTGCATCACGTAACTGGCGTAAGCGTGGTTGCCCGTGCTCTGATCAGACTTGGAGACGAGCTTCAAGCCGGCTGCCCAGCCGAAGCGCTTGGACACGTTGGTCGCGTCCTGGGTGTAGAACTCAACGTGGTGGAACTTGTGCATGGCAAAGCGGTCCGACTTGGGGTTGTGGCGCACGAAGTTCTCGTACCCGACAAGCTTCATGGTTTTGTGGTCGTTGGGGGTGGCAGCCATGATGAGGTTGGTGCTGAGCAAGTCAAATGGAAAAGTGAGAGGACGGACGAGTGGCGCAGCAAAACCATGTGGGACGAAGCTTCAATTTGGCATCACAGAGCGTTGGTTTGGAATCGTCACGTACGTGCCCCGGGGCACTTAGACTGCTTGCATTAGCTTGTGGGAGTAAAAACCACGCAAACGCCTTGCCTTTCAAGGTAAATATTCATTTATACAGGGATACGCCAGCGGTTTGTCAACTTGGTGGAAAGCGATTACAAATTCCTGCCCTCGACTCAATGGTTTGCAATCATCTTGAAAACTTAAGTAATTGGTTAATAATGCTGGATTTCGATCTATTTTACCAAATCCAATCGGTGTGCTACCGTACCGTGTCCAGAAATTATAGACGCACCTAACTGTAAATGTCTATCATGATGGCACCATGATGAACTCGAGAAAATTTAGGTGCGTCTATAATTCAAATTTATCATTTCGAGCTGTCCAGAAATTATCGACGCACTTTTGACAAATCACAAAATTCATCCCAATTTTAGCCAATCAAGTGTCAAAACAGCTATCCACTGGCGGCGACATGTACACACCATTATCGCCATCATTTGTCACATTCAGCGACGCCACACGGCAAAACCATCACTGCCGAGGAGCGAGGCCAAATAATGGCCTTGCCATGAAGAAGACTCTCTTTACATACTGGTATGACTTGCACCACGAGGTGCAGACCTACTCGAAGCGTGTCTGCGGTAGGGCTCGGTATTTGTTTGGGGTGGCATCAGCTATCACAACAAGACCGATTTGGACATCCTGGATGGTCGCCAAGACTCTCTGAGAAGTACAAGGACACACGTCGTGGATAGATGATCCCCGCAATGTGCGAAATTGGCCATGCGACAAGTGATGGCACTGGCATTTTCCAGCAAGACAACGCCAGCATCCATACGTCGAAGGTGTCGAAGGCGTAGCTGGATCCCTGCCGTGGCAAACGATGCAGCGGTCTGCCAAGAGCCCCGTTAAGCCCAATTGCAAAAGGTTTAGGATGCTCTGGCAAGACAAGGCTTTACAAATGGGCGGGAGTTCGAGGCCAAGGCGAGTCTGAAGGCCCAAATCTTGCTCTCATGGAACGAAATCCAGCAGGAGTACTTACAAGACTTGATTGACTGTGAAGGCATGCCTACTCGCATAGCTCAAGTTATTTTGCGTCGCGGTAACTGTATTGATAAATAGTTGACCCTTGAAAATGCGTCTATAATATCTGGACTGCTCGAAATGGTAAATTTGGAGATTGCACGATCTGAACAGATCTGTTGTTAAAACCCGCTTGGGGGATTTCTCTTACATACACCTGTGATAGCACGGCACCATGCAGAGAGAGGGGAATGGGATGGCATCATGATGAACTCGAGAAAATGTAGGTGCGTCTATAATTTCTGGACACACTGTAGTATGTACTTGACCATCAAAGGGATGCAGTCAACTGCATTTTAGCCAATAAGTGATCGACAAAATAGTGAAGTCCATTCATCAAATTCGACGACACCTCCTGCCGCGCATGATTCAAAATTCAAATATAGTAAGCATTGCTTGGCTGATGAATACCGCACCGCACACATGGTATCACAGTCAAACGATGCAACCAAAACGTGTAACCAAACGGTTCCACCGACGCGACAACATCCGGAGCATTCCGATGTACAGTACCTCCGACTCTTTGACAGTTTGTCAAAACTTGCTATTGAGATCCAATTCTGGAAACTGCTTCAGCCTCGGCAAATCATCCTTTGCATGATGGAAGAAGAACTGCCATCATAACGACACCACAACAATCCTGGGTCACGAGCTACCCTCAATGGTCATGCAAGGTTGAGGACGTGTCGTTTACTGACGATCTGTTGCAGAACATGCACGGCGTGCGTGACGATGTATCTTTCCTCACAACGGCGAGCATGGCGATGTGGTGGCTCAATAGTCAGCAACAATGTTACCACGATATTTGGAAACGAGGGCTCAGAGAAGTCACACAAGCGTCTATTCGAGTGGTGTCGCCGGTTTGCGTGCTTTCATGGATTTGCCTTCCGAGCTCCTGTCCAAGCCAAGCGATTGAAGTTAGAGTTGGAGGAGCACGGCATTCCAGATATTTGATTCGGTATAATTAAAATACTTGACATTAGGGAGAGTCAATTTGGAACTTTTCGTTTGCAAGTTCGATTTTCGTTTTCACGAAAACCAAAAGCAAGTTGAATTTAGATAACTGAACATCCAATCAAATTGCTCGTAACTACTGGCACACAAATCGCTCACTTGTGCTTAGGAACGATGGAACTCGAGTGCGACGACCGTGCGAAGCGAGGCACGTCGCGTGCTGAGCGCCTAGCCATGCTTGAGTTCTTACGCATTCCGGACAACTTTGCGTTGATGACTGGCCAGGCCACCAAAGGAAAGTAGGTGAAAGGTGGGCAGAGACTCACAAAATCCCACGCCCATGCCCTGATGGCCGAATACGTTAACATGATTGTTCATGACAGCACGCGAACGTGGGCAACGCAGGACACGATATCCATTAATTCGAATAGATCAATGTCATCATTGTCACACACACATATAGATACGATGCGTTCTCATCGTACAAGAAAGCGCTTCGTTGGTGCGGCCCGAACAACAGCGGTCGAGGTCTTACTCAGAAGGACTACAAACGAAGTAGAACTTAAATTGAAGATAAATCTCACTCATTCTGTAGAAATCTTTACGATTGAAAGCAAGTTGGAGAGTATTTGTCCGTACTACAACGAGATGAATGCGCTTTTTGGCGAGCGCTAGCCTTTCGACCATCCTTTGTGTTAGAAACGTACAATGACTACGGTAAATTACGTGAATATCTTGGCAGTGAAATGCATCATCAAATTACGATTTAATGTAGTTGACGAGCCTAGTGATTGTGATGAGTCCTTCGTGTCCGATTACAAGTCCAACGGCAATACCGATGCTGTTGACGACACCGAACCAGGAATGGATAACGACCCCGACGACCCCGACAATGAAGAGCCTCCTCGTCACTTCCCGGCAACGGAAAAGCGACTCACACCACAGAAGGATTTCCTGTCAATCTACATGGACGTACAAAGTCAGTTGAATTTCCTCGAACGCGAGAAATTCGAGTAACGTAAACGGCCAATTCTTGCCGTCGGACCAATTCTTGCCCTCTTTCAGTTTTCAATGTCAAGTATTTTAATTATACCCAATCAAATACCTACGCGGCACTGAATCAGCCGTGATTGGCTGAAATACTATTCGGCGCAAAACTCGCACATATTATCGAGTGGAATTCAAACACATCTGCAATTTCACTCATAACGGGCTACACACATGAGCAGCTCGTCGAAGCAACCGAGCGCGCGTTGCAAGGAGAGCGACAAACAGATCTCAGTCGCATCTACAATGTGCCATACCGTACGTTCAAGCTCTACATCAAGAAGATGAGAGACACCGGCAGCATCGTTAATTGCAATGTCCGGTACGATGAAAATTGACAATGTTTAGTCCGATGGTACCTCCGCCGCAAGGTGGTCATAGTTTGAAGCTGGCGAAATGCTCGGGGATTATATGTGTTAGGGGTGAAGGATTAGCTTGGGGTCATAGGCAGAGCGAATTTTTTTGCTATTGTTCAATGGTTTCCTTAATATAATTACCTGTAAGATATTATCAAAGTAGGTGCGGTTAGGTGTATATTAGCTTTGGCAATTGTTTTGAGCTCATATTAAAAATATTGTCCAACCCTCTCGTCACCCTTCAAACCCATACTGAAGTCAAGTTTAAAGAGGGCAAACAACTGGTCCGGCATATTTCAAAACTTTTGTGTTTGCTTCGGCATAACTACGTTAAAAATACTCCAAATTACGAGCAATTTGAACGACTGGATAGAGCGTTCTTTCCTCTACAACTGGATAACTTCAGATTTTTGTAATTTTTCTTAGCCTATGAGATAAGGCCAAAAAGCTAAGGGATCGAAATGAGGGCAACAATTGGCCGTTTACGTTAACGTTACCAAAAAGAAAACGATAAGCTCACCCAATCTGCAGCGGCAGTTAGGGAATTGCAAACTGCTAAGGCGTCAATGATCTCGAAGTTAGTGGAACCTGGTTTGCTAGATGTTGACAAAATTCGGGAACTTGTTGCGATTGCATTTCCAGTTGAATAATTGAGCAAAAATTCAAAGTTGCCAGATCACATCGATTTGTTACTTTTCTGTAAATCATAAATAATGAAGCAGCTCGGACTTTATGATTAAACAATTGTCTTGTGAAATGGCGTTGCTCACTTGACTGGCACGTGAAGTTTGACAGTGCAACGGTACATGATGCTCACCATTACGGAGGCGGTTGACAATGTTGTACAGGACGCAGCAGGCCAAAATCCAGTTGCGCACAAACAGAACGTCACGCTCGTTGCGGATGTCGACAGGTAGGAGGGCCAGGCTGGACCAACGTCCTTTCAACAGTCCGTTCCCATGCTCGCAAACGACGCGAAGGCTCGCGTGACCGGTGTTGGAGATATCGTTTCCAACTTCACGCGCGGAGGGCAAACGGTAAGGGGTGAGGATGTGGCGGCCGAGGGGAAAGCCAGAGTCGCCGGCTTAGTACTGGTCGGGGTCGAAGTAGGACAGAGGTTGCAATGCGGATGCAGCAAGAAGCTCAAACCGTTGAATCGTGGACGCTGCCAGGCCAGCCCGCAAGCACATACCGAATTTGTCGGCAGTTATCGAAAGTCAAAAGAACATTCATGGAATATTCCCTTTTTCGACTGTAATATACCTCTCCATGCAAAGCAGGTTTTCGGTATAAAACAACATGAGTGCCATCAGTAGACAAAATGCAGTTACGAAATCCATAACGCTCTGCATTCGACTTGGCAAGTAGGCGTCATTCGTAGGAAATCGGCCACGTAATTTCCGATTTAGATAATGAGATCTGGGAACATATAATACGTCTCGTATTAGGATGAGCTGTCCCATTCCCAATTCCTTTCGCCCGTGCGAACATACCAACATACGCACCAGTGCAATTGTGACCAAGACGATACAGAGCACAAGCAAGCTGTACCCACACTGGCCGTAAAACACGTTTCGTTGTTGGTTGAAACACAGAATGTTCTTCAATCAAATTCAAGATGTAGGCAAACGTTGTCTGGCAAACACGAACTTCCTGCACAAAGTCTCCTACAGCCATGAATGGGAGAATCGAAAGCTGACCTAGTGGACGCAACAATGACTCACGTGGACACATATAACGAGCACTGAGGACCATACATCGCAGCTCTAGAAGCTGTCGTATATCGTTCTTTGTTGAAACTGATAAACGTGGATTGCATGTCACAATTGTTCGCACCATGGTGTCCAAGTCTGCCAAGATGGCCGATCTCTCAGAGCGCCGTGGCATTTTGCACAATGCAATCTAGTATACGGATAAAAAAAAATCAGTTGGTCTTGTTGACTCCCCTACGCTTTTCGATTGAGAGTGGCCACCTATCATTTCGATTTTCAAAATCCTTGAAAATCAAAAGCAGTCCAAAAATTCTCAAATTGACTCTCCCTATTAAAAACTGAAAAGGGAAAACAATTGGTCTCAGGGCAATAATTCGTCGTTTACGTTAAGTTGCCCTTCTTTGAAGCGTCAAGGTACAGTGCCTTCGCTTGTTTCTTGAGCAAGGCGAAATATAATCCTCTGTTCCTTCAGCCAACATACTCGATGACCGTTTGCCCTTTCGCCACAACTTGCTCGACACTCAGCCCAAACCCGGCAGCCATGGTACTGACCACACACACTTTAGAAAGCACGATTCCTGAAGAAACGTCGTTCTTCTTGCACGTTTCATCGCCACCATCACACCCGTGAGCTGGGCACTGAATCCGCGACGCCCTCGTTGATACTGCAAAGTATGTCGTGATTGTGGCTGCAAACGTCGACAAGCGCACATGCTGGTTCGGAAACGACTCACCACACACATTCTCCATGTTTCCTGCGAATGGCATCCACGTCTCTGGTAATGTTGGAACCACTTTGCCAAAACAGAGGTATAATGAAAAGTGAACTCTCGTTCTACCGAGACAAACACGACTTTTGGGAGATTGGCACGGTCTTCATCGTGATCTGATCTTGGATACTTTCGCCGGAACGAGGAATGCCCATGACCACGCGTAGTGAGCGAAAAATGGAAGAACTCACGCAGCCTTAAGTCGTTCTTTGTGAGCTTAACAAATGCCTTGGTCATTTTGCCGGTTATGTGCGTCGAGTTTTGCTTTTCCCCATTGCAATACTCCAGTCGTAGATTTTACAATGCAACTTGATTTTCTCTGTTACCCTGCGATAATTGAATGCAAGTCGATGAGGGCAAAATGTGCTAGCATAATGCCAAGGCCTTGTAGAAGGTCAGGATACTCTTATTATCAAACTCTGTTCCCCCGTCCGAGCGAATACGCTTTACTAGAGCTGTGCTTTCAGCTCAAGTTGAGCAATGTACTCTTTAAGTGATTTAGGCACATATGTCTTCTGTTGAAAGCAAACGCCCATTGGTACGACGAGTGATCATCAATAATAATGCATCCAGCCCGCTGCCCGTGCGCACCGCGACCCAGATGTACGCGCTACGCCCTGCCCACGGCTTGCACACGTCGACTTTCATTTATGTTCTTACATGTGTATGATGCGTAATGATATTGTTTACCATGATTTGCATTATCGCCATGTTGTTAGTAGTAGTGTTACTGTGATGTGAAAGCCGTCTGGGTCTAGTGGTGTATATATTATGCGGGATGCTCTTGGGGGCAATCAGGGTTGCGACTTATCTACCGGTTTCGTGCTGCAGAAATGGTCCCCCTTGAGTGTTTATACTTCCTTCGGGCCTTTGTTGCTCCGCGTCCCATCTCTGGGGAAGTTGTTAGCGTAATGATTAGATTTTTGGCACACACAGTTTGGTTGGGAGCTCATAACTCTGCCTATGCTGTAGCTTGCCGCTCTTATGGTATACCTGGATGGCTTATAGTCAACGATGTGGCTCATGCAGAGTACTGACTTTGTTGTCAGTGGAACTGGTTCAATTCCAGTCATCGTTTTTACACTAACTATTACTGTATATATGTTGTTTGGGGGGGTCTTGAGCATACCACTCGAACCACAAGTCTGCCAAGGACGTGGCGGCTGCCTTGTGGCGTTTCATTGGGACAGTGGCTTCGGCTTCGGGCGGTGGCATGGCGATGGGAGGTGTTGGAGCCGCACCAATACCGACGTGTGCTTCAACGGCAGCGACACGTAGGCCAAGTGCATTGTTGATGGCAACTAGTTCGTGGATCACGGCTTGTTGCTGCGCAATGGTGTCGTTCGCACGTGTGCCTAGCCCTTGGTGCGGTGTTTCGACCATGGCTTCGTGTGGGCGCTCAATGGATGCCGCCCACGCCAAGAGATTTCCAACGGTGAAACCAGCGGCGTTTGCCGCTTGCGCAAGCCTCGCTACAGCAGAACCATGGGGACAGGTCTGCATCAAGAACGGTAAGTGCCACAACAATGTCGTCACCAATATGTCTAGCACCACCGGCTTGATCAACAAGTTGGGGTTTGACAGCCCAAGACAGTTTTGGAAGGCCACGGCTTGGACACGAGCGACAGCAAAGCGGGATGCCGAATCGAGTGGTGAAAGGTCAGGTACGACAACATTGCCGGTGGGAGTCCAGCCGCTCAACATCTTTGCAATCTTCTGGTCTTCTGCTTATGTGTTGAAAATATACGCGAAAGCCTTGTTAGTCGATGATAGGTCCCACGCTCCACGATCAAAGATGCTTTGCGCACTCAAGCCGTTGTGGCCATTGGCATGCTGGGCACCTCCGCGTCGAAAGCTGTGTGACGTCAGTTCGTGTGTTAGCTCCGACGGTACGGCAATCCTCTTTAACAGTCGATTCACATAGGCATGAACACCCGGATCGGCCGCGACATTCGCCGCTTGTGGCGCGTCTTCAATGCACGACGTCAACGCCACCAAAGGGTCAAGCAGGGAAGGCAGTGGCGTTTTAGGTCCGATGGTGATCGCTTCGGCTGTCACAACTTGAGGAAGGTACGACAACATGGCGACTGACGGGGTAGCTTGAGTAAGTTGGGCTAATGCGATGGATATCAGCGGACATGTGTACGGGTTTTGGTCAGGATAGAGCGCAAGCCGCTGCTCCTCGGACGTCTTCATGCGCACGAACCCAATCGTGAGTACAGACCCCGAAGACACAGCGAGCTGTTGGCTTTTGGACAAGGGAAAGGACTGAAGCACGGCCAAAGCAATGCCACAGCAGGACTAGCATAGCAGCATCTTGATAGTCCTTTGAACTCTGAGCGTTGTGATGTAGCCACTGAACAAGCACACACAAGTCTTGCTTCGTTCAAGCCTCGGCTTTCTTCACAACGCCACCATGTTCACGCTTCAAACAATGACGCTCAAGCGTGCGCGCCATCTTTTGCAGTCGTTCTTCGAGTGACAGGCGTAGTGATGGATTTTTCTCCAGCAGCCAGTTCTTGGTCTGTCTGTAGTATTGCATTACTGTAGACTTTGCCAACTTACGGCCGCGACTGCCTTCGTTAAAGGCTAGGTGGATACCATACTTGTCCATTGCTGCCTCAAACACCGATGCCGTCGCATCCTGGGCAATGCAAGCCAACAGATGCTCGAACGGGACGTTTTCGGAGGCCACCCACCGTTTAAACGCATTGAGTGCGTTGATGCGAGCCCTGGCAGTCTTCGCAGGCACAAGGTCGCGTAGGCTCATGATGCTGCGGGTAATCGGATGGTTGGGTACCAGTTACGCTTATTGTTAAGATATACTTCGAAGTACTACGGATTGGTAATTTAGGTTGTTGTGTGAAAACAGGACAAAGTCCTGAATGTCGGAATGTGAATCATTTCCAGTCAATACTCGATCACTACTAGTTTGTATGCAAGGTGTGATATTTCAGATTCCATTCCGACAAAATTTGTCGGAATGTGTCGGAACCGACACAATAGCAGTAGCCCTAACCCTAATTCGTGTTTATTGGTCAAATTAATGTAGGATTTATTTTTAGTACCATATGATTGGTAGAAGGGGGAAACTGAGGTCATTGGTTGGCTAAAATTAGAGCATATAAATACTAAGTGAGGTAGGAATATTGATCATATTCATCGGTAGTAAAAAGTTAAGAAAGAGAGTTATTATCACACCAAGAACCCTGAAGGAATAATACTCTGTTAGCTATTACTGTCACCATAAGGATTCCAAGTGACCCCAAAAAATCATCTTTTGTCCAAATTTAATACAGAATATCATGAAAAAAAGAGAATAAAAAACTACAGGTATTGTCCATTGACCACCAATCACCAAAGTGAAGTTTTGGTGGTCATAATCGACATCATCCAAGCACCACCAGATAAAATTAAATAAATTAAAAAATGATGAATAAAACTAGGGAACCTGAGGCACTTTTAAAGTACCCGCCATGAGCACAAGCCCACGTTCGACACGCGAATTGTCTGCGGCGCGCAAGCGTGAAGTAACCACCGCTCTTCTAAACAGCATGTGTTTGGGGAAGCTGCCGCGCGGCACAATCAAAGCGATTGCAGCGCAATTCGAGTTGGACCGGAAAACCGTACGCACACTTTGGAACCGCTCCAAGACAGGCAACACAGCGACACTCAAGCTCGGGCGCGTTGGACCTACCAGGCAACACTCAGCAGAAGAAATAAAGCAACTAATACGACAAGTACCTTCTCACCAACGCAGCACGCTCAGAGACGTGGCCGAAGCCACAGGATTGTCGACCTTTGTGTTCAGTCATACATTCAAGAGTGGGATCATGCACCGCCGGTCGTCGCGTCTCAAGCCGCTCCTCACTGCAACAAACCGACTCGAACGTCTGGCCTATTGTGGCGCCCACGTCAATCTGACCCAAGAAGCAGTCAATGCTTACCTTGCTGGTGTCGACGCACTCAATGCCAGCTCTGATGAAGGCATTAACGTTGCCAGCGAAGCCGTCGAAGTTAAGTCGACTTTTTTGGGATGTGGGACGTGGTCCACGTGGACGAAAAGTGGTTCAATGCCAACAAGGACAGCCGGAAGACGTACCTTGTCGATGGAGAAGATGTGGGATACCGCGCCTGCAAGTCCAAGCGCTTTATTGCGAAAGTCATGTTTCTTTGCGCTGTTGCTCGCCCGCGAGAAGAGGACGGCTTTGACGGCAAGATTGGGATGTGGCCGTTCGTCACTCAAGTCCCAGCCGCTCGGAACTCACGCAATCGGCCAGCTGGGACAATGGTCACGACACTGATCAATGTTGACGCCGCCACGTACCGAGATTACGTTGTCAACAAGGTGATTTCGGCAATCAAGGCGAACTTCCGAAGTTTGAACAAGCGCGTCGTGTTGCAACACGACAACGCTACACCTCACCGATCCATCGACAATGGCACCCTTGCTCAAGTTTCCACCGACGGGTGGACTTTCGTTGTTCGCTGCCAGCCCTCCAACAGTCCTGACCACAACGTGCTTGACCTTGGCTTCTTTGCATCTATCCAGACTCTACAGTACAAGACTGTGAGTCGCACCGTTAATGAGGTGATAGCGTCAACAATGATCGCATTCGAAACTCTCGAGAGCGAGAAGTTAGCCAATGTTTTCCTGACCCTGCAGGGTATCATGCGACTTGTACTGGAGCACCGTGGTGGTAACCACTTCAAGCTACCTCATCTGAAGAAAGATGCCTTGAGACATACCGGTAATCTTCCTACTAATCTGTCCTGTCCTGTGTCGCTTCTCTTCAAGGCAAACAGCTACCACGTCCAACAGTCGGGTCTATGACATTTGAAGGGACATTTTAACCAATGAAATACATTTGTTTCCTCTTCGTCCAATAATATTAAAATGGGGTCGGTAATACCATAAAAGTCGATTTTCCAATGGTGACAGTAATAGCTAACAGAGGAAGTACCTGCAATTTTCCATGAAATCATTTTTGAGAGGCAACAAAATCGATCTCAAGGAGACGAGCTCTATTGGTGCAACAACCGAAACCGCGGAGTCAACCAACACCACATCGTTCCATAACGGATGCGGCGGTCTTCGTACTTGAGAGGTATTGGGAGGCCAAGCATCGATCATTGAGTGCCTACAGTATGTGTATGTTATGTATGTTATGATGGTTGTGCTGAAGGGAAATGTAGTCAATAGTACCAGGCGGTACTGCTTTGGCTCCGTTGATGTGGGCATCGTTGGTGTCTTGGAACTGTGAGATTTCGGGATGTGGCGCACTGCTAATATGTATACTTGTAAATTTGAATATCATTTCAAACACAATCTTCAAGTGCGAAATTCGTGTCTTTTCCGACACCATGATATTTGTAAGGAACTTGTAATAAATGATGGCTCAAGTTCAACATGATAACTGTCCTGTCAAACTTTGTATCAATTGCCAAAAGCAGGGACCACTTTTGATTTACGAACTACGGTATGCAAATCGTCGATCGAGAACCGGGCTTATTTCGACACGACATCCTTCGATCTTTCAGTTTCGCGAACACTTATATGAAGTCAAAGTTCCAATATGGCTCGATGATACCAACTACAACCTATTTTCGTGCCGCACCAAAGGTCGCTCATTCGCAACACACGAGCAAAATCTGTCCGTGGCGGGACGCAGGAGGGCAAAAACTTGCACATTATTAGTGCGATTTCGTCGACCAACTTTGCCTTTGCACGCGAAAAAGAGGTGCATACAAAGCCGAGCACGCGAACGAATGGTTGCGTCCCATGTTACGCTCCGCCGAGCACATTTTGGAGGCCTTGCCCACATTGTTGTCGTTGCGGACACCGCACCTTGTCATGCTCGGTACACACCTATGTTATGATCTCTACCACGACTACTGATCCATTGATATACTAGAATGGCTAATGCGTTCGACGAAGTCGAACACATGGATGCAAGTTTTTTTAAACTCACAGTCCCTGAGGGCATCGAGGGAACTTCTACTCGTATCTTGCGATTGGCTGGGTCAATTTCCTCGATTTTTGAAGTCTCCGATGAGTCTTAGCTTGCATTTTAACAGAAAGCGACGTTTACACTCCGGAACGACATATCCCTCACAATACGATGTAATTCGAGTTGAAATTACCTCAAAAATCGTCATTGAAATATAATTACTT